AGCAATGATATCTCCTTATGTAAAGTGGGACCATCGAAAATCTAAAAGTGTACCAAAATACCACATAGAATATTTGAAAAATGAGATGAAGTGCGGCAATAGAATAGTTCTTATTGATGCTGAGGAAAACGAATGGAAATACATCAGAGGACATGTTATTGACGGTCTGTTACTTCTATATTAAAATTAACTTAATTAATTGTATAAATGTTTTGGGTTTTAGGTAGAAATATATTTCCTGCCGCAGGATATTTACATCTAGTATGGAAAACCTTCACAACCTTGAATGACATAGAAATGACTTTTTCGCAAGTTTGCTTTGAAAACTGTAAATTCATCAGGGCCACCACAGTGCCCAAAGAAGGTTATATCAACCTACTGATCAACATTCAATCGAGCAATGGCAATTTCGAAGTTACAGAAGGGAATTCCATAGTGGTTACTGGAAGGATCTTCTTATTGACAGTAAAGTCTGAAAACTTATCACATAATTGTGTGCCAATTGAAAGCTCTTCAGGCCTTAAATTAAAAAGCAAAGACGTCTACAAGGAGTTGAGATTACGAGGATACACATATAAGTATGTACCAGGGAACAAATATTCAATATCGTGATAATTGATTTAAAACGTTTCATTTAGAAATGATACGTGGTCTTCATCTCTCACATTAATTATAATAATTTCCATTCTTAACAGACATTTGGGTGATCATTCAAATTAACTCTGAATTAAATAAAAAACATTTTTAGGGGAGGTTTTCGTGCAATAGAGGAATGTGACAGTTCCGCCTCGATGGCTTATATAAAATGGGATGACAATTGGGTCACTTTCATTGATAACATGCTTCAACTGAAGATTTTACAATCCGATACTAGGTTGCTTTATGTACCAACCTACATTTCTAAACTAACTATAATGACAAAAACTCATTTGCAGTTTTTGGACAATGCAGAACGAAATGAACAAAATGCTATTGTTCTGCCAGTAATCAACGATATGAAAACTGGAGTAATAAGGTAATAAGGCAATTAATAATAAAAATAAGTTTTTCGTTTATCGGTTTACTGCAATTTTTCCATTTATATCTATTCTTTTAATTCTACATAGATAAATAATTTTGATGTGATTACACATTCATTTTTAACTTGGATGTAGAAAATATTTATTAATATAAACTCATGAGAATATCAATTATTTTATTATTCTTGTATTCGTCTGTTCGAATTTAATTACATCGGCATACAAAAAAAGTGCTCTGTATCTTTGATTTGACCCTATAGGCTTTATGTATTTTGACGTGCTGAATCCGAATTTGAAGGCCGTTTACTCAAACACCCCCAAAACTCTGAGTAATTAGCAAAAAATAGAGAAAAATAGCCGAAAATCACGTTAAAAATTCGAAAAAATTTGATCTGCACTTAATCAAGTGGGTTTCTTATACACTTTAAAGTACTGAATCCAAATCTGAAGTCTTTTAAAATCCATCCCACAGATTTTATATAAATCGCTAAATAATAGGGAAAAATCACAAAAAATAGCAAAATTTCGCCAAAAATCACGTTTTTGAGTGCAAAAAAATTCGAAAAAATTTTTTCTGACCTTGATCAAATATGTTTTTTATGTAGTTTGATACGCTGAATTCGAATTTGAAGTCTATTAGCTGTATCCCACCACAGATTTTGGATCAAGTTTCATTAGGTACCCAAAAATTTTGCAAAAATCGCAAAATATCACAAGAAATGGAAACCATGAATATAAAAAAATCTTGAATAATAATTGTTATCAGTGGCGGTGCGTGAACATTGATTGAATGTGTTCTGCTGCTTAGGGTTGTTACATTTGTTGAATTGAATTTCGCGATAAAGTGCCCGGAGAGCCTCTAAATGGCGCCGCAGGCAAAAAATTTTAAAATTTTCAAGGTCACGCGTTTTCCTGGCACATGAATTTCAAGGAGCAATCCATTTATAAATTATAAAAATTCAGATTTTCACAAGAACGATTTTTGAAATATCTATTCACGAATTACCTACTGACGGTATAAATAAATTGGAATAAACTAAATATATTTTATTAAATTATTGAATATTGTTTATAAACAAAAAAATCGTTTGTGAAATTTACCAACGATTCAACGAATTTTAATTTTCCTCGCCGTGTTATGATTTTTTCTCTATCTTTTTTTATATATATGTACATTATATTATATTCCGGAAGTTATACGTGCAAATCCGAAATCCGGGACCATACAGCTAATTCCCGGTACAATCACAGAAAATCCCGGTCTACCCATGTGGCTAGATGTTCTTTTAATATGTCGTCAAGATCTGCACTAAAATTTATAAGTCCACGAAACACATCAGGGTTGTCCGAATTTTCTGTCTCGTCGTGTCCGCGAAGTGCTATTTCGAAAGCTCCCCAAAATTTTATGCAATCTACGATTTTAGATAATACATAACGATTTTTCGTTACCTGTTCATTGTATTATCCCAATATGCAGAATCTAACTGACTTCTTATGTTTATTTTACCTAATGACTTAAATTACTTAAATCTTTCACACTGTATATCCATGCTTTATCCCCACCGAAAAGTAAGCACGGAAAACAAAACAGTGTATTTTTTAAATCACACCCGCACACCCACTCTGCTTTTGTGTATACATTATTGTTAAATTGTCTTTTATAACTTTTACTTCGGCTTGTTCCACTAACTTCAATATTTAATTGTGGTTTTGGCCCATCTAATTCTTTTATTTTTAGTTTATCCTCATAACGCAGAGAACCAAATAAAGTTTTTTTTTTAACAAAACGCTATTCATTTTAATAACTATAATATCCGTAGACGCCTAAATGAAAATATTCGCACGTGCCGCTCGCAGAAATAAACCACCACATACCACGTACGAAATATTACTGCATTTACTGCAGCAGTGGCTGTCGTTGCTGCAGCCACATAACTCCATATACTTGTGTACTGGGTCGCATGCCTGATTAGCCAATCAAAACAAAGGACGCATCTAATCGTTCGCTGTGCACACATTTTGTATATGAGGTTGCATATATTAAGGAGCGTAGCTCGCGTCGTAATAAATAATAATATAAGCTCTTAGATTTATTTTAGCGCGAGTATATTTGGATTCTTTAAATATTTTGTTGATATTTAATATGATTAAATACATAAAATTTTATGTGTTCTGCAGCTCCGCAGCTCTTATGGTAAAACCGCCACTGATTGTTATGGATATAAATGACTTACCAATAAATTTTTTAGATTTTTTTTTGTGTTTACGAACGTGATTTTTTGCTATTTTTTGCCAACTTTTCGCTATTATTTTGCGATTTATGCAAAATCTGGAGAGGATGCAGCGTAAAAAACTTCAGATTTGGATTCAGCACATCAAAATGTATAAGAAACCCATTTGATTAAGTTCAGAACAAATTATTTCAAATTTCCTTGCGCCTTGCACTCACTAACGTGATTTTCGGCTATTTTTCACTATATTTTGCCAATTACACAAAATTTTGGGGATGAGTTAAATGGACTCAGATTCATATTAGCACATCAAATTACAAAAAGCCTATTGGGTCAAATCACTTTTTTGTGTGCCGGTGTTATCAATAACATAAATCAAATAAAAATTATGGCATCATCATGGTCTTTTGGGTTGTTATGCCTTGACCTATGTACCTGGTCGCCGCCAGTACTTCCTTAGCTTTAGCTAAGAATTTTTGACCTGCCCTAGGCTCTGTGGCAACCTCAGCCGTGGCAAAGCGTTTGCAGTCACTACTAAATATGACAACAGTAAAATACGATGAAATATTTGGAAGCATCGGATATGATCATTGATCAACAACAAGAACCAAAATCAATATCAGGGCGGGTTCTGATAACGGATCCGTTAACACAGAGCTTAGCCTGAGAACAACAAAGGCAAGTCAAAGATTCCCCGTTAATGCTAAGGAAGTGCAAAATATTACAGTCCTTTTGAACTGCTGCTTTCAGATCTGGCGGTATAAGTATTTGGGGTTTAACAGCTAGCTCAATTCCAAGGAAAAAGTTATTGGCTATTCCAGTATTAGAAAGCTACAAATTCGTACCTAACTTTACGCAGTTGGATGTACACCAATCCGTAAGAGTGAACATGCAAATAATCCTAGAAAACAGTCTAGCTCATAAACTTAAAGCTATTGAACTCATCGATGAATTTACCAAAGCAGATATAATTTCATTGATGCCTATTGTGAAGCTAGCCCTAGAAGATCAACCCCTTATACAACCCACTCTTAAGATATTGAGTAAAACTCCTCTTCCAGAGACAGATATAGACGTTGAAAATAAACAATTGGAAAGCGAATCAGACTGCATGCTCGTGATCGCTTCAAACATTTTAGATAGAAATGATGTAAGTAAATCATTTATTTTTACCAATAGATTTTTACCACATCAAATCCAAAATATTAATTGTTGTTTCAGATTTTGGAAAAATCCTTTTCTGTGCTAACAGAAAATGCCTTCATTCTAACTCGAGAATCTCGAAAGTTAGACACGCTTAAAAATTTGAACCAAAATTTATCAGTTTTTACAGTGCACCGAACCTTAAACGAAACCTTCGTCCTTCTTCGTAGAAGAGGTATAATAAATAAACCTAAATACGTCAAAGTGAACGACACACAAGACTTCCATTGGTTAAGAGACGTGCAGAGCACAATCACTAAAGAAAGAAACCAAGATTTGATATTGTATTCAGAAAATGAATACAAAAGTGGCATCTTGGGTCTGGTCAATTGCCTTAGAAGAGAACCACAGAGTCAAAATGTCAGGTGTTTGCACATAATGGATGATCAGGAGGTGTTTAGGCCTCAGGTGGAATTTTATCGTGATCAGTTGGAAAAAAATATGGCTATTAATATTTGCAAAAATGGCCAATGGGGTACTTACAGACATCTCTTATTGGAAAGAGAAAACTTTATAGAGAGCGATCACTGCTTCCTAAATTCAACTCTAAGAGGAGATTTGTCCAGTCTAAAATGGAGAGAAGGACCTCTCCATCACCACATGAAAGAACAAACTGAAGAGGAATTGATCACTGTAAGCAGACATTACCAATATGAAGTATAAACACTAGTTCTCCATTTTTCACAGGTATATTATAGCGCTCTAAACTTTAGAGATATTATGACCGCTACGGGAAAAATAAATGTAGATGTCATAACCCAGGACCGTCTGCAGCAGGAGTGCGTTCAAGGATTCGAATTTTCAGGAAGAGACAGTAGGTAAATAACATTCTAGTAGATTATTTTAATATGAACAAATCGATACTTTAAGCTTAATGCTTGATTGTTTTTATTTAGTTCAGTTTCTTTTATTTAAATGATAAATGTTTCTATTTATACGAACGATTTCAATTAATAAGAATTCTTCTGTTCGGTCTCAGAGGAAGGCGTTACATGGGCATGGTAAGCTGCGGGGCTCTCTCTACACTAGTATTAGCCGATGTCCACATGAAGTTTCCTATTCCTGACAGCTGGAGTTTGCAAGAAGCAGCTACAGTTCCTGTGGTTTACGCTACTGTCATTTATTCTTTAATAATTGTAAGTTTCTAGTAATGGCATAAAGTTTTTTATAATTCTTGCAACACTGTCGGTTTTGATTTAATTCATTTTTCAGAGAGGACAAATGGCAAGAGGTGAAAGCATCCTAATACATTCGGGCACTGGTGGAATCGGGCAAGCGGCTATAAGACTGGCTTTGTACTATGGATGCACAGTATTCACGACAGTCGGTACAAAGGAAAAACGTGATTTTCTGAAGAATACTTTTCCACAACTTAAAGGTCAGTGAAAAAAATAATGGGAGATACAGAGGCTTCATAAATGTCTACAAGTCACGTGACCGCCGAGCTTAGGGAACCTAACATTGCACGGCTGGTACTGGTAACGAAAAGTCCCTAAATCTTGGCATCACCAATATTAACGGTTTACCGTTACATCTACGCTCGAGATAATGCGATCGCTGGTTGGTTGAATAGAATTTCGAGAAAAATTATGTCAATCACAGCCGGTGAAACAGATTATTGTGTTTTAATGTAACCTTGATCTTATTGTTTTAATTTTACTGAAATTTCAGTGCCAACGTGAAGGAAATAAAATTACTGTTCCAAACAAAATTACTGTCATGTGATGTAGCTTGTGAACATTTATGAAAGCTCTATACATAAAAAAAGTTTTGATTTATTCTGAAAAACTACCTTAATATTCAGATAAACATATCGGCAATTCTCATGACGAATCCTTTGAGCAGTTGGTTCTCGTCGAAACTAAAGGCCGAGGTGTCGATATGGTGCTGAATTCTTTGGCTGAAGAAAAACTGGTGGCGTCCGTTAGATGCCTTGCAAAAAGCGGCAGATTCATTGAAATCGGAAAATTCGATTTAGCCAATAATCATCATCTTAGCTTACTCCTTTTCCAAAAATGCATCAGCTTCCAGGGTGTCATGTTGGACAAATTGTTCAGTGAATCACCCAGGGTTAAGCAAGAATTATTCAGAATAATGACGGACTTGATCAAGCGTGGAGCTATTACACCTTTAAACGGAACAGTGTTCAATTACAGTGAAGTGGAGCAGGCTTTCAGGTTCATGGCTACAGGAAGGCACATGGGAAAAATTCTGGTCCAAATTCGAGAGCCTGAAAAGGAACTTATCGTGCCCCCTTCTCCTTCAAAATTCCGCGGAATCTCAAGGTAAAAACTTCATTATAGTTTATAGATTAAACTACTTTTCGCATAGGTACTCAGTAAATAAGAGTTTTTTCTACATTCTTCATCAGTGCGTGTTACAAAAAACACGTGCTAAATTTTTTTGTATATTAACTTGAAAATGTATTTATTTTTCCTTTTAGATATTTTTGTAATTCTGAGAAAGTTTACGTAATTGCTGGTGGATTGGGAGGTTTTGGATTGGAATTGGCCGACTGGTTGATCCTTAGAGGAGCCAAAAGAATCGTGTTAACGTCAAGGAAAGGAATTACCAATGGATATCAGGAGTATAGATTACGGTAACAATAAAAATCATTGTGGATTTAAGTAAATTTAAGCTGTGTTCAGCGAATGACTGCACCGGTCAAAGTCATTCAGCGGACAAATATTTCGATGGTCAGCTCAATTAGCTGATTGGGAATGGGAATATTGGTCAGTTTAATACAGTTAATATAAGCCCGTTCAGCGAATTGTTTGACTAAAGAAGTTTGACCGAACTAGTTCGACCATACACTGAACACAGCCTTAGATAATCTTAATAGAAAATACGTTATTTGATTGAATGGATCAAACTTTAAGACTACCTCTCTTGGACGAAATTAAGGTGATTTAAGTCAACTTGCCTTAGAACAGTTTTACTTTCTTAATATGCTGTAGGCCTGTGAAAGCACTTTTTTATTTTATTTTTTTTTACGACAATTTATTTATTTTTTGGGATATTGTACTCAAATTTTGTAAAATAAGTTTTTTAATAAGTAAAATAGGTTTTTTAGGTAGTTTAGGTTTTTTAAGTAAACCTAATTCTTTTCTTAGAAAGTTAGCCTTAAAGTATGATGGCTAATTCTGTATTATTTTACAATTAATCTATCTTATGTAGACATTTCTTAGTAAAGGGGCATTTTTTCAATTGTTCAATAGAATTTGGAAAACGTATGGCGTTATAGTGAAAATATCAACAGCTCCTATAACAACAAAAGAAGGGTGCAAACAGCTCATAGAAGAATCATTAGAGCTGGGTAGGATAGACGCTGTTTTTAATTTAGCTGTGGTTTTGGCCGACGGAGTTTTCGAAAACCAAACCCCTGAAAATTTCGTCGTTTCTTTTGGGCCCAAAGCATATGCTACTCACTATCTTGATGAGTTTACGAGAAAGATGTGCCCAGACTTAAGGTGAGGATATATTTTCCCCCATGGGAAATAAAACATAAAATATATAGAAACGTAATAAATAAGCATAGAAAATATCCAGCGACCCAGCATCATTACCTAAAATTTTTAACCTTTAAAGTTGACGTGTACCCACCTATTGGCATGCCTCAAGAGCAACTGCTGAATAAATTTTCATTTCTTAGTTTATCTGATAGACGCCAACTTTGTTCCTTAATATTTATATAAAGTAATACATAATAATATCAATTGTCCGAATATATTACACATGTTAAATATTCATGTGTCTACCATTGGAACACGAAACTTTAGAACATTTTATTTACTTACTCCACGAACTAATGCCTTGAAGTTTTCTCCCTTTTGTAGAGCATATGTGTCAAAATTATACTGATATCCAAGAGCAGCTTGATATAATTGATGTTAATATTACTAATATAAAAAAGTTATTTGTGAAGTAATTATATGTAAAATGTAATAACTGTTTTGTCTTGTTATATATTGTTCTTTTATGTTTTCTTTATGTAAACTCCCATCCCGTAATAAGTCTTGTACTTGTACTGTGGGGTGGTGTCACTAGATAAATAAATAAACATTAATTTTTATTTTGCAGCCAATTTGTAGTATTTTCATCTGTATCGTGTGGGCGAGGAAACGGCGGTCAAACTAACTACGGAATGTCCAATTCCGCGATGGAAAGAATATGTGAACAAAGGAGACATGCAGGTTTTCCCGCTATGGCCATCGAATGGGGAGCAGTTGGAGAGGTTTGTCCCCAATTCGCGAATATATTTATATACTTATTAAATCATATTATACAGTGCGTCCCAGAAGTAACACAAAAAAATCATATTTTATTTTGTGTTGAGTTTTCACAAACACGCTAAAACACGTCAATTAGTAAATAGGAATTGTCGTTTTGTCACGTTGGTTAAACCTTTTTTGCACTATGTTCCATAAACCTATGACATCATCGACATTTTTTTTAAATAGCACTACCTAATTTTTTAAGCATAAATGGATAGCCCTTTTGAAGGGAAATACGTCGATATAGGGTTTGGCCTACTTTAGTTTGACAGGTGCAAAAAAAAGCCAACGATTGGAATGAACATGGTTTGAATTAATAACAAAAGTAGGTATCACAAACTTATGCGCGTACAGTGCTATAGCAAAAAATGTGTTTTGGTTGATCGTAGGGACATGTTTTTATGTAGATTTGGTGGGTACACCCGATCACAGCGGCTATGTAGGTATTGTTCTGAAGACGACAGTTAGCGAATGCAATAGTGCCTCATATCATTCTGACAGTTAAAAATACCATAACTTTACATTACGATGGTGTTGTGTTTAAATGAGAAACAAAGAACTGAAATCCTAATTATGGTTGGATACGGAGATAGGAGCCGTAGTTATGATGAAGTATGTCAATTATTCAGTGCCAAGTATCCAGAACAACCAATACCTCCGTCTACAGTATGCAGATTAGTAACCAAATTTGAAGACGCTGGCCATATTAGAAATCTGTCTAGATCTAGAAGGCCAACGACAGTGATAGAAAATGATAGGCAAAATGTTATGTTTAGCTGTCACTGAAAATCCACACATTGCCATTCGTCGTATCGTCGAAAACGCCAACATATCAGTACATAAAAACGTACCTACAATCAACCAAAACACAAAACATCCCCAAATTTCCATTTTTTACTGTGGCACTGTTCTCGCATCAGTTTATGATACCTACTTTTGTTGTTATTTTAAACCATGTCCATTCCAGTCATTGGCTTTTTTTTTCGCTCCTGTCAAAGTAAAGTAGGCCAAACCCTATATCGACGTATTTCCCTTCAAAAGGACTATTCATTTATGCTTAAAAAATTAGGTAGTGCTATTTAAAAAAAAATGTCGATGACGTCATATGTTTATGAAACATGGCGCAAAAAAGGTTTAAGCAATGTGACAAGATGACAATTCTTATTTACTAATTGACGTGTTTTAGCGTTTTTGTGAAAACGCAACACAAAATAAAATACGAATTTCTTGCGTTACTTCTGGGACACACTGTATGATATAAATATTTAAATTATATGACTACCTATTCTTTCAGTAGTCACAACTAATACAACAGGTAATTTTTAGGTGGGATTGGTTGCTGAAATGATGGAAAATGACATGGAAATTGAGATAGGCGGTACGTTACAGCAGAGGATATCCAATTGTCTCCAAGTGTTGGATACTTTATTGAAACAGAAAGATGCCGTTATCGTGTCCAGTATGGTGGTGGCCGAAAAAAAATTATTAAGTTCTGCAGACAATGTCGTCGATGCTGTTCTTAATGTATTAGGTAAATTCCTAAATTGATTAACTCATTTACATCTGCATATAGTATAATATATAAATTGTCAACTCCAAAAATATTAATCGTATGTTTTGAAATATACAGGGTCGGAAAGTTCCCATGGTTCATCGGCCGTTACGTGAGAGCGATAAAGAAAGTCATAGAAATCCGTGCGATAGAGAAAGATGGCTATAATGAATGCGTCTAATAGTCACCGCCCATTTCGCCCTTCCACAAATAAGATCCACTTCTTATTTGTGGAAGGGCGAAATGGGCGGTGACTATTAGTCACCTTCATTATAGTCATCTTTCTCTATCGCACGGATTTCTATGACTTACTTTATCGCTCTCACGTAACGACCGATGAACCATGGGGACTTTCCGACCCTGTATGTTGTCTTCAAAATGCAACATATTCAATAATAATAATCTGGGATAGCACGAACAAAATTATTATTTGACTTGCCATAATCAAGAAAATAAATAATTCCTTATTCATCATTCTAATCACGTACATCTATAAGGCACTGTGTTTATACTCTTATTAATCTAAAATACGAAATTCGTTGTAATGTATATATAAAACTTTATACATTTTATTCATTAACATTGTTTCTTTAGGTATAACTGATTCCAAATCAGTAAGCTTGCATTCAACTTTGGCCGAATTGGGTATGGATTCAATGACAGCTGTTGAAATTAAACAAACTTTAGAGAGAGATTTTGAGATGTTCCTTACTACGAGAGATATTAGAAGTATAACGCTATCGAAGTAATTATTTCTTACCGTATTTTTTGTTAATGTTGGTGTTGCTGTTATTTTTTGCAGATTGAGAAGTATCCAAGATGAAAAAGTAGTAAAAGATACCAAAGAAACCGACGGTTATGTTGACATTGACATGTTATTTAGACTGCTTGGTGATACAACTTGTAATCCTTTGCCTTATCTAGAGTTGGAATCGAAAATTCCACAAAATTCGGAGGGACCCACGATACTACTGTTTCCAGGAATTGAAGGAGGGCCCAGCGTATTTCAAAGTTTCACAAAATACCTTAATGCCCACACCGTTGGTCTAAATTTAAACTTAGAAGTCAGTTGCAAAAGTATTGTCGAAATGGCGCAATCCCTGGTACCTGTAAGTCATACAGTTTTTGAGATAATTAAAGGTAATAGTGATTTTTTTAGACTGTTCAGCGGTATTTTCCTGAGAAAACATTTAGTTTGGTGGGCTATTCATTTGGAACTATAATGGCAATAGAAGTGGCCAATATTTTGGAATCTCTAGGATACAATGGCACGATAATATGTATTGATGGATCGCCGTTGTTCATGAAAGAGATGTTAACTGGTTTTGGCATAGAAATCGAGAAGAACTATGAAACGACAATGTTATGTCATATGCTTTCCTATTTCTTCCCATTGGAAGTAATTGAGAAACATAAGGTAAAAAATTAAACTAATATCAATCATATGTAGTAACAAAACTAATACCATATATTTTAAAATGTTTGCAGGAGACCATTTTGAAATGTGCAAATTGGAATGAAAGGCTGAACTTCACCTTAGAATTAATCAAACAGAAAACCGTTCATGATGTGGACTATCAAAGAATAGTTGCCAATGGAATTTACGAGAGATCAAAAGCCTTGATGACCTACACTCCTTATACCAAACTAAAAGCAGACATAGCTCTAGTCAAGCCAAGTCAAGTTAGTTCAGGGAGTCTTCCTGAAGATTATGGATTATCAACATATTTTGAAAAACCTGTTAAAATCCATACATTTGAGGGAAACCACATCACCATTTTGGAGAATGAAGCAACGGCAGAAGTGATAAATTCGTTTCTTAAGAAAGATGCTGGCAACGCATGATGTTTGTTAATGATGTGAATAAAATTCTTAAATATACCTACTTTTTTAAATTCAACAATGTATTTTTGAAGAACACATTTTTTAATAATAAACAAAACCATGAAATTTTATTTGAAGATAATAGGTAGAAGAAAATTATAATTAAAATAAGCAACTTTTATTAAACAAACTGATGGTCTAAAGCATTACGTTTTATTGAAAATTGAAAATTGAAAAAAAAATACACATGAAGGTTTAAACAAATTTAAAGTCATCCGTGATGCGGCAGCCAGCTGTACTTTTGATAACGAAACTGCCGCGCGCCGCAGTGCGAAAGCGCTGATGGCGGTTTTGATGGTTAAATTTTTTGTGTTCGAAAACTTATTCAAATCTCATTTAAAAGTAGCACAAAAATTAAACGAATTACCAAATATGTTCTACAAAAATTATTCAGTGTTGTTTCCTTGTACTAATAAACATGCTTCCAAACGACGCCGACGGTCAAAATTCTGTCGCCAAAAACACCACACCACACATTCACTGAAAACTCTTGCTGAAACCGAGATCTCTGTACAATGTGAGGATTTGCATCACACTAATAAACATTTTATACGCTGGCTAAGTAATACTGCAACATCCAACGCACGTGCACAAGATGCATAGGGTCTGCATACATTTATGGTTAATTTTCTCGAAAACAGAAGCATTTACGGCTATTACATACGAGCGTTGTTTTACCGATCGGCAGCCGATCGTCAAACTTTCCGGCAACGACTTTGTGTATAAAGATGTATTTAACAATGTGTAATTTAAAATATACCGCCCATGTGCAAGAGGCGTTAGACCATGCTCATTTTCGTGCCCACTATACGATTTTCAAGAAAGGCACTTATTTCAGAAACGTTCAGAAACAGTGTGTGCCATTTAACACTCCCGCTGCCAATATATCCGAAATGAAGAAATTTATTTTAGTTTCGGAAATTGGGGTTATCTGAAAGATCGTTAAATTTTGAGTAATTTTTGTAATATAAAGTTTTTCCCTATATTTACTTGTTTTTTGTTTTCGAGATAATATGTCGACTTCAATATGCAATGTAGGTATGATATAACAGGAAAATCTATTATTTTATTTAAATCACACCGAGACAAAATAATCTTGTAAAATATTGTTATAATGGCTTTATTCGCAATATATACTAACTAACAAACAATAAATTATAAAAAAAACGAATGATCAACTACAGAAAAAAAAATTGTACAATGGTAAATCTTATATAAGGATCAGAGACGAACCACATTGTATCAAATGTTATTAAAAAATGCAGGCATAGGTCATGCCGTTTGTTTAAAATAAAAATGACGGATGACACATATTATAGTTTTCCAATAATTACAGTTTTATCAGTTTGCGTCTTTCAATTTAACTATACTATAGTTATACGATTTACCATTGTACAATTTTTTTTCTGTAGTTGATCATTTGTTTTTTTTTTAATTTATTGTTTGTTAGTATGTGGTGTGAATAGTCATTATAATATTTTAAAAGAATATTTTGTCTCGGTGTGCTTTAGATAAAATATTAGATTTTCCTGTTATAGCATACATTGCATATTGAAGTCGACATATCTCGAAAACAAGTAAATATAGGGAAAAACTTTATATTACAAAAATTACTCAAGGATCTTTCAGATGGACTGTATTTCCTTACGTTGCCAGTGTTGCCAGGTGTTGCTAATTTTCCTGCGCCAGTTTTGACATTTTATTGCGCCACCAAGCGCCATCTATTTGGAAATAGAAAAACTTCTTTGAGTTTTCTATGCATTCATGTAAAATTTATTAGTTGAAACATTGTTTTTCTAAAAACAATGGTTGAAATGAAATTAAAGGTTTGCAAAAAAAAGAAACATTTTCTTAGGTAATTTTTTAATACTAATATATAAAAATAAACAATGTAACGATATATAACATATATCGTATGTTACATGTTTGGCATATCTTATTTATCATTGCACTGGAAGCATACAAACGTATACTGTGTGTCTCCTAAAAACTATTCAAGATATAACTTCGTTATTTATAGTCCGATTTTGAAAGGTTGCCGATTATACAGGGTGTTCTTTAATGACGTGCAAGGTGATTCCTCGTCATTTTATAATGAAAGTTCATATGAAAATATGTCCACAACGGCTTAATTTTTTTGGTACAGGGCATTGAAAATTTTATTTAAATCTAATTTTTTAATAACGATTTACTATTTTTTATAAAAATTCTTCGGCGATACCCACAGGCGATACCATACCCATGATGATGTGTGTAACATCCTGTAGAGGAAGCCTATAAAAATCGGGTTATAAATAACGGACTAATGGCTTGAGGCGTTCTTTAGGAGACATCCGTTATAATAAAAGTATATAAAATAAAATATTTTAGAAATAAAATTATAAAAATTGTTATATAGTAGTATAGTACATATAACCTGTATTATGAACTAAAAACAACAAAGTATTCAAAGTCTATTATAGCTAGTATAGGTACCTCTGTCTTACTAGTTCCTATCTCACTACTTTGTTTTAATACAAAAAAATCTACTTATTTTAACACGAGTCAGGCAGTGATAGTACTGGGTATTCTGTCATCCTCTTCTATGAATTCAATAAATGACAAAACATCTTCATTGGGTCCATTATTTAAATACATATTGTTATTAAATTTTTGTAACATGCGTTTTGTAGGAATTACAGCAGGTACCTTCATTATAGAAAAATACTTTCAGTCGTATTATAGCATTTAACAATGGTAAGGACATTCGATTTCTCATTTTATTTTTGGTGATATTCATTGTGCTAAAAATTCTTTCAACTGTTGCATTGGTATNGTATGCAAATGGTATAGGTTGTTGTATATCAGATTTCATTCTATGTTAATATTCCATTTTCTATGATTGGTATATACCAAACGTACCGGTTCAAGATAATTCACCATGTGTTTTATATGGATCGGTAGCTTAATATACTTACATAAAGTCACTGCAGAATATGGAGTTTAGCTATTGGTTATAAATAACAAGCGCCACCTTTGAGCGCCAGGTGCTTCATGAACAAATTAAAGCGCTTATTACGATTTGAATGCGCCACTTTGGCGCTAAAGCGCCACACCTGGCAACACTGTACGTTACAGGTAACAAAAAATGTTTTAGTATCGCCACGCCATCTATACAGAAAGATTAGAACTAACAATTCTAACTTCAATTTGAAGCTATTCGAAGGAGAAGAGCGTCAGAAGAAAGGGCCCTAGCCGGCGGGGCCCAGCCAGGACAAAAGGAGGTCCCACAAAGCGCCTACACCGGCCGCATTTGCGGTCGGGGTAGACGACGGATGGGGCCCACCTACGAAGGCTGTGCAGGCCTACACGAGATGAGGCAGGATAAAGAGGGATAATCCCCCTCGATCCCAAATCATTGAGGCCAATTTCTAGCCATAGAATAATGGAAGAACCTAACAACCCCAGTTTCCGGAACGAAAATAAATCTAAATAAATCTGAAACAAAAATACAACAGAGTAGTTGTTTCATGCAATTATTGTCTTGTCTGTGGGATAGGTTGGAATTTTACTGACCGACGACCCTGTACTCTAATGCATTAGAGAATCATTAGAACATACGATTATTGTTTATATGTATAAGATACGCTATCACGATTTCAGTCGGTTCAGTCGCGAAAAATCCCTTATAGTTAACACATTAGCATAGAAAATATAGTACTAACGTTAGTACTATATTTTCTATGCACATTAGTATGATATGACTATTCTGTGTTCTGTATCTGTGGTCATTTCAATTTCATATGTCAGAAATCATCGTAATAAAAGTTAGGTTAGGTTAAATAGTTAGGAATCTGGAATAGCAACATAAACATAGGAAATAATAGAAATTAGAAATAGGTAATAACTTATGTATTGATTGTATTAAGTGATCTTTCGACGTTGAAATTTCAAGGAAATGGTTATCTATGGAATTTACATAGTTTCTAAATCAGGAGGATTAATATTCAATTACGATAACAATGTTCCAAAGATAGAAAATGAAAGAAAATTTCCGTATCCACTCGATATAAAACTTCAAGTAGAAAATAAAAAGATAATTGTTGAATTTGGGCAGAGAGATGGAATAAATGGTAAATAGGTAAAAAAGAAAAACTGGCTTATAGCTTTTATCTGTTTTAGTTGGTCATGTCTTGTATGCGGTGAATGGTGTACCAGTAACTGGTTGCCAAATGGATGATGGTCAAGATGCCATGAAATTTTTACAAAACAAAGAAAATTATCCAGTTACTTTAAAATTTGGTAGACCAAAGATGACGACAAATGAGAAAATCTTTTTGGCAAGTATGTTCTACCCCTTATTTGCCATCGCAAGTCAGCTTAGTCCAGAGCCGAAGTCGTCGGGGATAGAAGTTTTAGAAGCAGACACATTTCGCCTTAATTGCTTTCAGACTTTAACCGGTGTTAAAATAATGGTGGTTTCTGATCCTCAGCAAGTAGGGGTTGAAATGTTTTTAAAGCGAATTTATGAAATTTATGCAGATTATGCTTTAAAAAATCCATTCTATTCATTAGAAATGCCTATAAGGTGTGAATTGTTTGATAGTAATTTAAAAAGCATACTTGAACAAATAGAAAAATCTGGAATTGCTAATATATGAAAATTATTCTTTATTTAATTTTATTTTTATATTTTATGATATGCACTCAAATATTAATAAACGTAGACCTTGTTAGTTGAATAAAATAGTTTAGAATTGAAAAAACATTTAAAACAATCTACTAAACATAAGTTTTGGAACAAGGTATGACATAATGGCATTTGAAGTGAATAATGTTCATTCCTGATATAAACTTATTTCCTAAATCGTACCGTTTTGGAGATAGAGAGCATTGAAAAAGGAATTTTTTTCCCGTTTTTCCCTCCTAACCGAGGTAGCGCCCCAGCCGCGTAAATTTCATTTAACGTTATAGCAACCTATGAAAAACCTGTGATTTCTATAAACTGACGTTTGTGAATAACATCAAAATTATTATTACGTTCAAAAGTTCTGAGGGAAAAACGGAAAAAATATTCCTACTTTAACGTGCTCTATCTCCGATACAGTACTATTTAAGAAATAAGTTTATATCATGAATGAACAATATTTTAACCTGTTCTATCGATTCCTGAAGTTATCCAGATTAAACCTGAATCATCTGTATACAATTTATGTGGCTGGGACACTACACCGTCACTAATTTCATTGAATATCGCAAAAACAAGGCCAAATACTGAAAAAAAAAGAGACGAAAAAGTTTCAAAATTAATTAGGCTAAGGTGCTGTGCAGCTGTTTTATGGGGGGAAAATGAGAACAAAATTCCTACTTCAATGCCCTCTATCTCCGAAACGGTGCGATTTAGGAAATAAGTTTATATCATTAATGAATATTATTTTAACCTGTTCTATGGATTCCTGAAGTTATCCAGATTAAACTTGAATCACCCTGTATATGTGTAGATATACAGGGTAGCACAAAAGTATGGAAATCCCTGAATAACCCGTTAGGAGTGCATTTTCTTGAAAAATGTTAAATACAAAAGTTTTAGGATTTTTCCCTGGCTATTCAATGGCGCCTTTGTATTCGACCTTTACCTTGACCTTGAAGAATTAAAAAAAATTTCGGCTTCTGTAAAGTAGCTAGTGATTCCAGTCAGTTAAGGCGAGGAGATTACCTGGCCCGTTATACGGTTTTTTTTTTGTTGTCGCTGATTAAGAATCGTAAATCGGTTTTTGAAAATTCGCAATCCATGATGGCGGATCTAAGATGGCGGACAATATTCTTAAAAAATCAACCAATTTTCGCCAAATTTGGTATACGGGGGTTTTTGTGGTCGCTGATTAAGAATCGGAAATCGGTTTTTGAAACTTCCTAATTCAAGATGGCGGACAATTTGAACGTAAAGTTGTTGACAAAACAACTTTGAGTGACCTTGAAGGTCGTGGTCAAGGATATGGTCAAGGTCATACTTGAACGTAAAATTTCCTGCTCTTTCCAAATCCATAATAAAAAATAGGGGCTCATTTGAAAAAATAATTTTGACCTTGAAATCACCTCGAAGGTCAAGGTCGAACACAAGGGGGCCATTGAATAGCCAGGGAAAAATCCTAAAACTTCTGTTTATATCATTTTTCAAGAAAATGCACTCCTGACGAGTTATTCAGGGGTTTCCATACTTTAGTGCCACCCTGTATATATATATTTGAAATTCCCTGTGTTTACGAGTCATCCGTTTGATTTTAGTGAATGCTATTTGCTAACTAACCACCGAGAACTAAAAGCATTCAAATTCTTCTGATTATTTCAATATGATAAATCAAAAGATGATTATTATACAGGTAGTCTGGTAACTATCGAGAACTCTTGATGAAATATTTCAGTGGACACGAGAACTAAAAGTATTGAACTACTTTCAGAACGTATTCGAGGACAAGAACTTTTAAAAATCGAGTATCACTCGATTTTTCATTCGAGATCTCTCATCACTACCTAGATAAATGATATTGCATCACTATTGATTGGTCAATCGACAAAGGTGAACGCATTCCACTTGACTGATCGAAAAAGTGATTAGATTTCTAATAGCACGAAAATTTTCCAAAAATTAAAGTGCACCGGAATTTTTTCAGTTTTTTTTGAATCGCAAAACTTTTTAGAAAATCAATGGATCGGTCATGAAAATTGTCAAAAAATTAGTGCTCATCTCAGTGCGGTACCGCACACAACTGCAACTGGGGCCTCTGAACACGCTGGGATAGTCGGTTTCTCTGCAACTGACCCGTTAAATAAGAAAAATGTTCATTTGAGTGAGAATTTCTCATTCAACAAAATATACAGTTCATGTTATTAAGAAAGCGCCATCTATGCATTAAAACAGTATACTAATCAATTTAGTATACTGTGGGCTCTTCCGCAATTTAGTGCAGTTTTTGAGCGATAGATGGCGCCATGAAAATTTGGAATGCAGCGTGATTGACCAATCAACATAAGTTAACATTCCACTTCACGAATCGAAAAATTAATTGGATGATTTTTTGTTTAATCCAGTACCCTATTATATATTTTGTGCCAGTACCAGTGCAATTTGTGGTTCAGTGTTCAGTTCAGTTGTTTCTTGACACCAATTTTGTTATTTTTGTTTATATTCATAAATTAGGTTATTTAGGTTATAACACTGACTTAAGTACAGTTTATATTTATCAGGATCAGTATTTATCGGTCTGTTATATATATATTTAAATGTGTATGATATAGAGAATAGAGTTTGTGTTTATATAATTATTATTATTATAAGTGTAATTTACAGTTTTGTATGTGTGAAAAAATGGCTTACAACTACAATATGAGATTAATGCAAAGAAATGAAAAATCACCCGGAAAATATAAACAGAAACTGTTACTGTTGAAACAGATGATTAGGGAATATGTGCATGTAAGTTTTATTGGCATTTTTTTTTAATTTTACATATAGTTACAGACTGATTTTATTTTTATATATCTAATGCAAAAGAGATGACCTCGTCATATTTAGATAGTATAAATATTTACGGTTTTATATATTCTTTTAAGGAAAATGCAGCATTGGTGGATGAATTGGAGGAAGTACAAATAAATATTATTATTAGAAAAGAAGAAAGGAAATTTTTGTTGAGAAAATTATGTGAATATGAGCCACAAATAGCTTTGGAAGTTCAGAATACTGCAAAAGATGGGCCCCTTTCTCGTACAAATAATATCGACAGTAAAAAGACTAAAAAGAAACTTCATTTAGAGTCTATAGGTAATTTCTTGACAGAAGAAACAGTTTGACGATTGCCACATGAATATGTGATGTTAAAATTTATTTTATTTAGAAAGAAGATCATCTTTAATGAAATCTCGTAAAAATCCTTCAAAAAACAAAAAGAAAATTGTTCAACCAATACCCGTTGATAATAATGGAAGACCCATTTTTCCAATCGAGTTAGGACGTTTAACAGTGCACTCGCTGGGTGAAGTAGTATCTGATAGAATGGAGTTTCATTCTGAGGATGCCATTTACCCTGTGGGATACGTTTCTACAAGATTTTATGGCAGTTTGAAAGATCCTACACAGAAGTGCATGTACACCTGTAAAATTTCAGATGTGAATGATTCACCGAGGTAATAGTTATCCATATTATAAACAATTTCGTTTTATACTTTCTCTTCTATTATTATTGCAGATTTGAAATAGCTTCGGATGACAACTGTCCGCCGATAATCGGTGACACACCTGATGTATGTCATTCCCTACTCCTGCAAAAAATCAACGATGCTTTGTCTCTGCATGTCGTCAGTACCCGACCACATGGCAACGATTTCTTTGGTTTGACCCATCCTATAGTCTTACATCTCCTCCAGAGTTCCCCGGGAACCAGGAAATGCATTTACTACAAATGGACTAAGTTTGAGGTCTCCAAAAATGCCGAACCTTGCTCGGAAGATAACGATGCGGGTTTGAGCTATGAACACCTACAGCGTTGCATCAGTTTTTGTAAATATAAGATGGCTCCAGATGTTTTGCAGAAACCTGATGAATACGGAGATGGTAAAGATAGTGGGCACATGTTTTAAGATAACTTGTATTTATTATAGTAACTGCTGTCTTAGAAATAAATATATACTGATTTTTTTTATCTCAGAAATATACAAGTGGTCAAATATATTGCCAAATGTGTTTTTCACTTAAACAACTGAAAATAGTGTCACGTGGTGCTCTGTTTCATTTTTCTTCTAGTTTTGATGTTGGAATTAATTTTTAATTGTCCTTTTCTATTTAAAATATTTTTTTTTATACTTTTAACTATTTTCGAGGTATTGACAGTTCAAAATTATACTTTCCTGAAATTCTCAGTCGTGATAAACGAATGAGTCAGTATTTATTCGAACTAACTTTCTTCAAAGTGGACGTATTTCAAATTATTTTACAAAATGAACCAAATTTATGTGACAATTTGCGAATATCTATAAAATTATAGAGGCTCGAAATTTGTGTAACATCAACAATGTTCATACATTATCACAAAAATTGTTTCATTGTGCAAAATAATTTAAAATGTGTTCAATTTCAAAAAAAAGTTCGAATAAACACTTCCCCAACTCCATATGTTCTTCATATAAAAAAGTTGAGAATTTCACTCTTCGTGACGAGAAAAACAGAATATTTTTATTCGAATACTTGGTTCAGGGACACTTCAAAAATCGAATGATTACCTAAGAATTAAGTACAAATGCTGGATGGAAGACTCAGTGTTGAGTAATCCTGAGCAGTGACTGTAACAAGAAATCTAGTTCTTGTCACTGTCGTGACACAGCGGTAGATTAAATTTTTTTTTTCGGCTGAATTTTTTAAATTTGTTATTTCCTACATAGATATTTTGCAAAAATTTTTATTATTTCAATATATTCTTTATTTTTAATAGACATTTTAAGGCCCGGTACTTTGAGTCTCGGTTAAGACTTGAGTAACTAATCAGGCGATTAGACTGTGAATATACTTTTATAAAAAAATCAGTATATGTTCAGTCTAATCATGTGATTACTTAAACTTAACCAAGGCTTAACAGAGACTCAAAGTACCGGGCCTAAAAATCATAAAAAATATGTGTGTAGGTATGTACAGCGCTGGATTTACACTAGGGGCTAGTGCCCGGGGTAGCAAATTCCCAGGGGTTGCAAAATTCAGGGCTTGAGAAAAATTTTTTTTTGCGCTATCAAAAATACTTCAAAAAGTGTGCATTTACAAATAAAAATAAATACAATACATTTATATATGATTATAAAATCATCTGTAACTATATATAATTTATATAACAATATAAAATACGCAATACGTACGCTTGTATATAAAATTATCTGTAATTTTTTTCCCCGGGTAATTATTTTAGTTCAAATTACACGCTGCAAAATGCTCAAGATAGCTGTACCAAATCTCAATTTCACTAGGAATTCAAATGTTGTTTCTAAAGAAAAAAAAAAACTTTTTTCGAAACTTTTCATCAACAATATTCTAGAACGGATCAACTGATTTTGATGGGATTTACAGCATTGGGCATAGTTTTTTGAGCTTTAGCTTCCTATGATCTGAAAACTCAGGGAACGTGTGCTAAATTTTTTGTCCTTTTTTGATACTTTTTTTTGAATGTTCACTAAATCAGCAATTATTTTTTAATTTATTATTTAAGCTCAAACCAATGAACGCGCAGGAAAGCGGAATACGTAGTAGGCAGAGCCTACGTCTACCTCAGATAAATATATAAAAGTGCGCATCGTCATGCCCGAGTTAGTTGAAAATCCGTGGAGCATTCAGTTAGTTGCTAACGCACGCCACAGTCTCTCCAATCATAGTTATCAAACAACAGTATCAAACTACCCATGATACTTTGCAAACCACAATTAACCACCAAACATTCAATCGTCGTACAATCGCTCACACAGTGACAACTTTGCAAACATTCACCTAAGCCAACAATCATTTGACAGTTTAACTATTTGCCAAAGTATTTAACATAGAACAAAATCAATGAATGCCGTGTACAAAACCGTTTCTCGATATCGAAGTTATAAGTATCAGCAAAGTAAACAAACTTTGTAAGCAAACAGTGACTGTGTTATGAACTTTTCACCAATACATAAACTTACAATTAGTTGCTAACCAACTTACCACACTCTCGAGCTAACCTAAGCGCTTTCTTCACTCTTTTCTGCGCAAGCCATCTCTGGGTTCAAAGTGTTATTTCCATTAACAATGTCTTTTCATTTATAAAGAAAACCTACCTCCCATTTCCTAGTGTTGTGTTGTATGTGTGTTGCCGACTTCCAAAGGATTAACATCACAATCTTCAGGGTAGCAAGAAGCCAGGTGCCACCCAGAGACATCGCAAGCTCGAGTATACTTCATTCACCAAGTGTTAGCTGAAAAACGTACAACGTATTCTTCTTGTCGTGTTAGTTACCGTAGAGTAAGTTTTGTCCACCAACGATAGTCAGGTATTACTTAAAGTCTAGTCACCTCAAATTAAACATAAATCGAACTTAGTCATTACATTATTTTTTCACTACAGTTTGAACGCCCAAATCAACAGACAATTTTAGTGTATTTGCATGTCAGTATATATTCACCTAGTTTGTTTATTTGTACGAATATTTTTCGTTATTCTAGTATTAATTTTTCATAGAAATTTTTTATAACTTCACGGGGGTAAGAAAGATATGTCGTAGCCAGCTCAACCATCAAAATCAATCGTGGAACAAAATTTAGGGTCAGAACTTATGTCGCAAAATTACATTCATATCTAGCTCATACGCATTTACATCCAGTGTTAACCAAACGTACTCCCAGCATCCCAATCTCATTTTTTCTGTTATTTAAGTAGCGGATGGCGCCCTAAACCGGTTAAAAAATATCTAAAAACGCGATACAAAGCCCACAGGTCCCTATTCTATTTTTTTAAAGTTCCGTAAACCCTATTTAAAAAAATACCCCCCCCCCAACCAATAATAACAAGACTTTCCCTCATTTTAACGCAGATTTTCTATAAAATGGGAGTTAGTTTGAAACTCAACTTTTTGGTGTAAAGAAATTTGTAATTTACGACGCTGCTTGTTCAAAAGTGGCAAATTACTTTCTTAACAACAAAGAGTAATGGGAATTTCAAACTAACTCCATTTTATAGAAAATCTGCGTTTTGTAACCAAATTGTTTGAGAAAATTGACAATATTACCTGAAAAGATAAGTCTTTTTGTTCCTGACTATTGATTTTTCCTTGAGAATTCCTGAAAAAACACCTTTTTTCCAACCTAGAGGGGCGTTCTAACACCAGTACTTTAAAATAAAGTAAAAATGAGGATAAAATACGTACTTTTTAAAACTAATTTTTTTCTTTTTGGATAAGGTGAAATAATAAAAGCGGGAATTTTAAGAGAAGTTTTTATTGTTATAACGTATTTAACATCAAATACATACAGACATTTCTCTACAATATAATATTGTTATGTAGTGTAGCAGAAAAGTAGTTTTAAGCAAAAAATTAAAACTAAAACCAAAAAGACCCAAAGAAATGTGCACTACTCGTGTGTTCATATATATATTCATATATAACTGTAAATAATTGAGGAAATAAAATTACATAATCATAATCCTTAGAAATTTGGTCATAATTAAACTCTCTATTTATCACTAAGATCTCTCGGCAAACTCGATGTTTATAACAAGAGACGCTAAATTCATATAAATATTATTAGCTATTTTAAACACTTTATATTCTTTTTAAGGTAAATATATATATTTATACTTGAAAATTTGCCTAAGAATTCAAAATACGGTAATTAGAATACAAATAATACAAAAATCCTCAGTACGCCCTCAAAACAGTTTCATCTTCAATCATAATTACAGCATCCTAATCAAAGAATTAAACGTGGATTCACACGCTGACAAGTCGTGAATAAATACAAGCACAAACGCAACTGCTGCACCGTTCAAATAAACATGATACTCTTAAAAACGTAAAAAATGTATGCTAAACTAACGTGCACCATCCGTACACGTTAAGCACAAAATTGTGTCATATCTATGCACAGACAAATCAACGTGGTTACGGTACAATTACTTCAGTTAAAATAGTTCAATTCAAGTGGAAACCTTTCTCTTTAGTGGCCGCTAATAGTCTCTGCCTTAGGATTTCTTCTGTGGGATAGTCGGGGAGTTTCAGGTAGTGAACGCACGTATTAACGGAGGGGTAAGAACCTTCACCAGCATCCACCTTGCGGACTATGGTTAGGCGCGGGTACAGGTTTGCCAGACCGCCCGGCGGAAGAGAGCTGCACCCCGTCGTGAACTGTAGAAACGCTTTCCTTTCTTCGGGCGACATGTCAACGAGAACGTTGACAAATCTCAAGAAGCCCGGACTGGAAAAGAAATCGAAAACAACATATATACATCAGTAGTGTTTTAATGTCATTAATATTAAATTTATAATTATATTTACATATATTTAGCGCTTTAAATAAATAGCCTAGTAAAAGAAATTTGTAATACATGTAAATCAAAAGGTAATTCGTTTCAGATTGAAACTTGGTTTAATCGTTAGTTTGGGTAAAAAGAAATAATATTTCCCAGAAAGTATCGGTTTAAAACAACAAGATCATTGTTTAAACAATGATTATAATGTAAAAATTACCAAAAATAGTGTTTTCTGGCTGTATTAAAAAGCATTCTCCAATAGGAGTTTTTGCTTTTGTTTATACTGAGACCTGCTAAATTAAAATCCATTAACAATTTGTTTAAATACTTGCAAAAAAACCAACGAAATTTGAATTTGCTATAAATAGAAGAAAACAGTAAAAAAATGCATTTTATAGTAATTTTTAACCCTTTAAATAACGTCCTGGAATACATTTTTACACCTGGAATGTGGTGGGGGAAATAAGATAGAAACATTCCGAGACATCAAATCTTAACTGCCCGAAAATTTTGTGATATCTCCGGTAATTGTGGATCAATTTTAAGGTTTTTTTTTTAGTCTGGGTAACACATGAAAATAATAACAACTGCACGGTCCATTTTGCAATAATTAATTATTAATTTGATAATTTGTTATAAACTATTAATTTTGTAAAAAAAAAATTTTTCGAATTTTTTCGAGAAATAATTTTTCACAATGGTACCAATAAACAATTTTCTTAAAAAACAATATTTTTATGTAAAAAATTCAGGAAATGACATATTTTTTATGTATAAAGTTTATTTTAATGAGAATCAAGTTTTTGGATGTAATATGCATAATAGTATTATTGTTTAACATTAAATTACATATTACATTTTAAAACAGGTAAGTAAATTAAAACACTCGATTCTCAAAATAAACTTTATACATTTTTTTTTTACAAAATAGTGTATAACAAATTAATAATTAATTATTGCAAAATGGACAGTACAGTTGTTATTTTCATGCGCTACCCCAGATTAAAAAAAAAAACTTTAAAATTGGTTCACAATTACCGGAGATATCGCAAAATTTTCGGGCAGTTAAGATTTGACGTCTCGGAACGTCTTATTTCCCTCACCACATTCCAGGCATAAAAATGTATTCGAGGACGTTTTTTAAAGGGTTAAAAATTACTATAAAATGATTTTTTTCGATATCTTTAACCGTTATTATGAAGTTTAAGGGTTGATTGATTTATTACCGAAATTTCAAGCTTTAATGTTTATAAAGTTATGAATTTAAAAAAAAAACGATATCTCGGCTAAAAATGGTCCTAGAACAATTTTTTTTTAAATTCGTGAAAAATTACCAGGATTACGAATATCACAGTGGCTTTAAAAAATATTCTTGCTCGACAAATAGTTGTAGAGAAACGAATCAGGGCTCATGTTTTCCTTAAGAGTTGTACTTTCATGGTAAAAAAGAGTGATAACAATTTTATTCATTTCAAGTGTCCAAAGATGCCTTTGAAAAAAGTAAAAATTTTTTGGTCGCATTTTTCTTGAATATCTTTTTCGATTTTCATTTCTCGATAATATCTATTACAGGAATCGATTGCTGACATTTTTACGCGAGCAAGAAGAGCCGATTTTCAAGATGACTTTTTTTTTCGAAAAATCGATCTCGAAAATATTTTTATTTAAAAAAAAACTTACTTTTTTGCTTGCCAAGGGTTACAGTTACAGCAAGTAACAAGTTTCAAAATCTTAATTTGCAAGAGATACAGCAAAAACAAAAAAAGTCGATTTTTGACGGTTTTTTCGATGTATCTCTAAAAGTAATATAGCAATCGATATATTTAAAAATATGAATCGATAGTTTTTTTTTTATTAGCAAAAAACCATTCTTTGACTTTTATGATTTTTTTTAGGTTAATTCCGCCGTTTATCGCCACAGGAAAAATACACTACCTTTCTTAGAATTTTTTTTCCTATATCACCATATTTTTTGTTTCCACGTGGTATTTTTTGTAAGCTCTCTTACCTATTGATTGGGTTATATGGTACAACAATACAAATTTTTATTATTTGCAATTTATTCACACTTATAAGCAATAGGAAAACCACTCACCTGTCCTTCGTGTACCCCAGCTTGGGTTCCGTATAATTAATGAGATCCTCTTTGGTCCACTCGGGATTCTGATCGCCGCATAGCATCACACACATCTCATCGGGGCTGAACGCCGCCAACTTCTCCATCGGAAACACCATCGAGAAACCCTTGTAGAATGCCTCCAACTGCCTTGCTATACCCCTGTCCAAGCAGAACTGCGTGGTCAGCTCTGCGTACTCCTCCACGTTCTCTATATTGACTTCAATGTCGGCACCGTTGCTTACCAGGTCGACAGACGTGAATCCGTAAATGCTCGAGCTGGGTAAGTAGGAGAACGTGAGGGCCAGGTCCTCCAGCAGAACGGGGCCCGAGGAGTGGTTCAGGCTGAGGTTCTGGATCTGGTGGGACTTGGTTTCGGGGGAGGCCGAGTGGTCCTGCATGATTCTCTGCTTCTGTTTCACAATTTCCTTAATTTGTTTGAGGAAGCCGGCCCTTATGGGGTCGATGTCGAACAGGTCCTCCTCCCCCAGGATATTGCTGTACCTGTTACAGATACATTTTCATGTAAGAAAAGCAATCTATGTATTTGTTATAGTGAGCTATACTTATATTGTCTATGTGTCTATAAAAGTAATTTTATAAAAAAAAAGTTGAATGTTGTGTAGGAAAAAAATGTTTATTTAAAAAAAATGATGAGTGATCTACATGACCATTTGCAATAGAAAATTTGAAATGACTAGTCATCAAAAATGATCGAAATGACCAATGTCAATGACTGATGACAGTGACTGTCACATTAAAAAATGCACTAAAATATTTAAAAGAATTGCAGNCCCTTATGGGGTCGATGTCGAACAGGTCCTCCTCCCCCAGGATATTGCTGTACCTGTTACAGATACATTTTCATGTAAGAAAAGCAATCTATGTATTTGTTATAGTGAGCTATACTTATATTGTCTATGTGTCTATAAAAGTAATTTTATAAAAAAAAAGTTGAATGTTGTGTAGGAAAAAAATGTTTATTTAAAAAAAATGATGAGTGATCTACATGACCATTTGCAATAGAAAATTTGAAATGACTAGTCATCAAAAATGATCGAAATGACCAATGTCAATGACTGATGACAGTGACTGTCACATTAAAAAATGCACTAAAATATTTAAAAGAATTGCAGCTGGCAGTCACTCCTCAAAAAGACCAAAATGGCTATAAGCGAGTGGTCACGTTAACCAAATATTTATAATGAATAATGATGGAATTACCAAAAACGACCAGTCTGTGACCATAAATGGTCATTCAAAAATGACCTTTGAATATTTAAAGGGACTGGCGAACGCAATCATTCTGCAAAAATGATCAGGCAGTGACTTCAAATGACTGGTCACATTCAAAAATGATTATCGAAGATTTAATATGACGAATTAAGGCAGTTACCAAAAATGACCGTTAAATATTTAAAATGACTAGTATAAATGACCAGATAGTGACTATAAATGGCCAGTGGCCAGTGGCATTAAAAAATAACCAAATATTTATAATGAATAATGATGGAATTACCAAAAATTACCAAAATGACCAGTCTGTGACCATAAATGGTCATTCAAAAATGACCTTCGAATATTTAAAGTGACTGGTGAACGCAATCACTTAGCAAAAATGATCAGGCAGTGACCATAAGTGCTCGTCACAGTGAAAATAACCATTAAATATTTAAAATTGGTAATGACTAAAGAGCCCACAACAAATGATCGGTCACATTCGAAAATGACCAAATTGATCAAAATTAGTGACCATAGCTGACCAGTCATTTAACATCGGTAACTTACCGAACAATGTGACCAGTCACTTTGTAATTTTTTGTCAATTTTTGAATTTGACATTATTTTTATTGAATTGGTGTTTAATATTTTGCTTCCCATATTTATATATTTATCAACGTTTGAATAATTTTTATTTCTAATCAGATTTTATGCTTTTATGGCGCATTTTTTGCATTTTGGTAAATGCATTCTCCTAAGTAACTCCACACTAAACTAAAGAAAAGTTTTTAAAGGAGTTTTTAGGAATACCAGAAAAAATTGGTAATTTAAATAGTTGGTCATTTTTTAATATGCCCAGTCATGGTCACTGACTGTTAATTTTTGCTAAATGACCGTCATCATTAATTCAGGTCACCAATTCAAGAAAATATAATTTTTGAATTTAAAAATTTTCAATAACTGACCAAAATTGACTGGACCTTTGCCGTTGTTTTTAAAACTAAAAATAAAAATGATTTGAACAATACCAGGGTCGTTTCTCTTCCATTATGATTTTCGGAGGGTCCAATTCCAGCTCTTTCTCGCTCTCCTCGGATATGAAACTGGAGGTCATCACGTCCTCTTCAGCGGCTTTTTTCCCTCCTGTGAAACCGATCCTCTCGTTCACAGTGTTTTGGATCTCCCCGTGACACATCAACTTCAAGAAGCTCTTGCTCAGGGGCAAGTCGACCAGTCTGTTGTCCTGGAGAATCTTTGCGAGGAATACCCCCAGGAAGTAGAAGTGCCTTACGGCCTTATCACAAATATCAGAGTGCTGTGGGAGAGGCGCTGGGAACAGGCCCGACACCCTCCGCACGTAGTAACCGGGTGGTTTCAGTCCCTCGCCCAAATCCACAGGCTTGTTAGAGTTGATGGCTTCGTCCTCGCATATCCACATGCCCAAGTCACGACGCTGCACCTCAGCAGCTACCAACGCGTAAAACTCCAGGGTGGGTCCAAGACCGGTGCCTTCTTCCCCTGCAAATTCCACCTCGAGGATGGACTTCCTGTCCGCGTGCACTTTCATTACTTGCATGGCCCAGTCGAGCAACTGTTCTCCTCTTGGTACTTTAACTCTCTCGTGTTTCAACCGTCCGACTCTAAATTCGTGAGGATCGTCCCTTCTCGGGGACAAACCGGGCGTCCTCTGTCTCTCCATTGTGACATCTCTTTGGGTCTGCAACCAGACGATGCTTCTAGAGGCACCGAATGCAGTACAGTTGAAATATAGCTGCCTCGTCTCGAAAGGAAACAGGAAGGGACACGAATGGTTCAATTCCTCGCACCACGTGGGCAGGCTGGAACTGGACAACACCAGCGGATCTTGTATTTGCTGTAGCAGTTTGTTTGTGATTTTTTTGCTGGAGAATTCCTCCGGAGATATGTCTGGGTGATCCAGGGTGTTCAGGTCCATTTCCTTTGTCGTGATGATGACGAAAAGGTGACGCAGCAGCTGCAGAACGTCTTCTACGGTGCAGCTCGAAACAGATGGAGTGCCAGGTACAGGAGTGCTGGGAGAGAGGGTCATTCCCGCTACGGAGCTGCTGCCGCTTCTGGAGTACTGGGTGGCGACGGGCGTTGCCCTACCTTCTTCTGTGTCGTATGTACCGTCATCTTTCACTTCTTTATAAACAATCCTGTAAAAAATGTTTTTTTTAGACACCACAAGAAAAAATATTATTTATTACTTACACATATGTGGGCTCCCAGATTCTTCTGAGCTTCTCCTGCTTCGAGCTGAATTCTGCCAGTTGCATCAGTTCTTGAACAGCCCTGAAGATGGTCCATGAAGGATCGCTCAGTTCAACCTCTACGTCTAAGATTCCAGGCATATTGGGACCTTTTAACATCAACTGCAGCTTAGGTTGTGGTAAGAGCTCATGTTCCGATGTAGAACAGCTCTCTTCCTGTCCTGGGGGAGGGACTTCGAGATCTGAGAAAAAAAACTTCATTTTCAACAAGAAATTGTCATTTATGATGCGGTGTTTAATCTTCACTTTTCAGTTAAAAAAGAAAATGGCGCCAATAATAATTTTTATCTCAAGTACTCACCTGTAGTTTGATTAACATTGGTCCTACCGGGCCTGGGATCGAAAGCAGGGATCAAAGCAGAGAACTGCCTCTTCAAAACATATTCATCATCCCAAGATCTCCGCTTGCTTGGTCTCGTCTCGAAACTTTCTTCCTCCATGAACGACAACAGATTCCTAGACACCATTACCTCCTCGTAGTCAGCATCATCCTCATTCTCATCGTCATCATTGTCGTCATCGTCACCCATTTCCTCATCGTCATCCAATTCGGCAAGCAAAGTAGGCGCCCTACAGGACTCCAAGAAGTCCTCCAGAGACACCTGTTCGCTATCGCTGCTGGTTGACGTCAAACTCATAGTCAGAGCTTGGCTTAAGCCCTGAACTGCCCCGGCAGTGGTGGAAATACCACCCGACTGGTTTGCCGCGTTGTTGCTCGATGATAAACTGGGGTAGCTCTGTGCGGTGCTCAGCAATCCGCTGGGGAAGTTGCTAGACAGCGCCAGGCGTACTAGACTAGACACGGAGTTGGGTGCTCTGGGGAATATGGAACCAGAATTCTGGTTGTTCTGGGCATTGGAGCCCGTGTTCTGCGAGTTGTTTGTGTTGGTGTTGGAAGCATTTGCTGCTGACACAGAAGCGAGGGTGCGGCGGCGCGCTAACGCAGCAAACGTCTCTAACAGACCTGAGAAGTTCAGAACTGAATTTTAATTAAGTTGAGCTTAAACAGGCGTAAACGGAACAGATTCATATTTATGCAGGGTGATTTATTAGAATAATTTATTAATGGAAATCCATTATATAAATAAGTTATAGCTGTTTTATGTTGAACGAAGTTTATTCATAAAGGTTTTGTTTTCACTCCGTTCTAAACTTTGTGAATTTCTTTGAAAGAAAAATAGTTGCTATCAATTTTACAAGCAATTCATAGTAAATAAAAACAGATTCAATATTATACATTTTCTCAAATAAGTTGGGAATTGTTATTAATTTGAAATAGACTTGTAAAAAACAATGTGATCCTACTCTGACAGTTCGAGTCACTCTATAAAAAACATGCTGAAGTAAACATGTGATCTATAGTCATTGTAATGTATAGATATGTATGTCCAGCAATATAAATAATCCCTATGGTTTATGTAGTAACATTTTTGTTTAAAGAGAAAGAAAAATGTTTGAAATTGTGAAATTTGTCTGCAAGTACTTTTGACTTTGATAATTACAATATTAAATTCATAATTTTGACTGAATTTTATAGTCACCATTTCAATTAATATATCTATGAGATGTATTTTGCTTTAAACAATTTTAGGCAGAAGAATATTGTTATTTTTTTTTTGCGGAATTTTAGTAGACCTACACTGAATTTAAACTGGCCAATAGGAAAGTTTGTTCTTTATGACAAATAAATGGTAAACTGCTAGTAATACTATAAAAGCTATGATCTAAAGTAGGGATGGGAATTCCCGGGAAGATATTTTTTTGGAAATATTCCCAAAATATATTTCGGGAATGTTGCCAAATGTTCCTCGTGAATAATCCCAGAGAATATTTTCTTGGAAACTCTTCATGGAAATATTTCCAAGGGAAGTTGCCCAGAAATATTTCCCACCACTTGCACTGTTTTTTGTTTTTTTTTTTAACTTGAACATGTGTATGTACTTATTGTAAGTTGTGGCAACATTAATGATTATCAGAGAGCGGACAATTTGTGACTTTAACCTTGAACATAGATATGTCATTCATAAACATAGATACATTACCCATGACGCAGTGGCGTGTCGGGTATGCATCGGAAATTTACTTGATAATTCACGAAAATTCCACGGTACATACATTTTTAGGCGTTATAAAATATTTAGAAAATCAGAAATTGTATAATACATATTTATTAAATAAAGTTCGGTTAAAAATAGTGTCGTTCTTTTAATTGGAAATTAGGAGTCAATGTAACGAATATCCTCAGGCGACGGACATGATAGAATAGTCCAACTCATGCTCCATTCATAACAGGGCTGCAGTTTGAATTCTGACCAATAGGAATTCGATAAACGCAACCGATGTCGACGGATGGACTAGAGATGGGCGCGAGTGTCATTTCATTTCTTTGAACTAAATTAACTTAATTATTTTCTCGTTATTTAACCTGTACACATGATTTATGGATTTTAAATAAAGGGTATAAATCTTCGCGAGGATAATACGATATATTTGCTATACATAATAATTATATTTTGCATAGTTTATACACAATACATTTTTGAACGCGTACACATCTCTACCACAATTTGACCTATTCTTCGGGTTAAAGACACACATTGTCCGCTCTCTAATGATTATAATTAATTATATTATACACTTATTTTTTGGCTTTGCAGGTAGGTACTTGATATCTTGAAATTCGGAAATTGTTTCAACATGTATTTACAGCAATTATTTGTAATTATTATTTTTTAAATAACTTGCCAACTACAGATTTTTTAAAAAATGTACAAATAACGTGAAAAGATATTAATGATGCATTGATGCAAAAAAAATACAAAAATTGAAACAGATAATCTCAATACAATTTCTAAGGTGATTTGGCGGGAAATTCAAAATATGGAAATGTTCCCTGAAAAGGATTCTTCCCTTCCTGGAATGTTCCCATTTTGGAGATTTAAACAATACTGTTTTAAATGAATTCAGAAATTTTCAAGATATGTCACGACAATTATTCTATTCAAGCTGTATGTCAATATCAACATTTTTACTAGTTTGTAAATTGACCTAGTTAAAGTGAACTAACAAGGAGAAGGTAAGGTAACCGGATTTTTGTAATTTTTGATATTTATGGTACGTGTAGTTTGGACCTTGAATAAGAATTTTCTGAAGTAGTTCGACGCAACGTTCATAAATTCCCGAGATAATCGATTTTGAAGTTTTACCTGACAGCTAAATCCACTAGATGGGACAGATTCTTCAACTGGAAGGGTGGCCTAGTTGGTAACGTTCGTGTCTGACAGTCACGAGATCGGTGGTTCGAGTCTCGTCGTGTAATTTTTTTTAAAACGCACCATATAGTTTTTTTTATTCTCTTTCTCATCTCAAAAATTATTAACAAACGAAATATTGTAATGTCGACTTATGTATATGTTTCAAATTTCAAATATTTCATTAAAATGCACAATTGGTTGATAAACAATATTTATTATGAATTAACAATAAGGTTTCTTTAAAAAAATAAATGAGGTCAGGTAGGATGTTTTTTTTATTTTATTTTTAGTATTTGACATTTTACGCAGTGTGGCATAAGCCAGAATGATAGTTATCGTAGAAACATGGGAAGCAGAAATTTTTTAAGCATCTAGCACGTCTTGTAAATGTTGTTTTTACAGGCACATTTTGTTTTCAAAATATCGACGTCAAAGCAAATTTCGTTAACATTTTGAAAGATTGTTCTTTCATCCCACAGTTTCGATGATACTCTACCCTTTTTTGTGGAATTTACCGAAACTTTTTATGCCCGAGCAGGTGTTCTGTAAGCGGTTTTTCTAAACACGGTGCACGACCCACACAACCTAGCCCAAAATTTTAACCAAACACTCGAAGAATATTCCTACACACAGTTTTTATAAATATTTCGTTTGTTCATAATTTTCGAGATAAGAAAAAGAAAAAGAAATAAAGCTAGATGCTTAAAAAATTTCTGCTCCCCATGTTTCTATGATAAATACCATTCTGGCTCATGCCACACTGCGTAAAATGTCAAATACTAACATAAATATAAAATAAAAGAACATCCTACCTGACCTCGTTTTTTTTTTAATGAAACCTTAATAATTTATAATAAATATTGTTTATCAACCAATTGTGCATTTTAATGAAATATGTATTTGAAGAATATTCCTACATATACATAAGTAGTTATTGTAATATTTCGTTTGTTCATAATTTTCGAGATGAGAAAAATAATAAAAAACCATATGGTGCGTTTTGAAAAAAAAAAAAAATGTCACGCAATGGACTCGAAGCAGCGATCTCGTGACTGTCACACCCGAATGCTACTAATTAGGCCACACTCCTAGTTGAAGAATGTGTCACATCTAATGAATTTAGCCGTCAGGTAAAACTTCAAAATCGATTATCTCGGTAATTTATGAACGTTGCGTCGAACTACTTCGGAAAATTCTTATTCAAGGTCCAAACTACACATACCATAAATATCAAAAATTACAAAAATCCGATTACCTTACCTTCTCCTTGTAAATAATATCGATCCACCTGATGTGATATGACAACAGGGCGCTAAATGGGCAAAAAACAGCCAATAATAATTCAGCAAAAGGATTGACCGAATATATCGAGCTAATTTCGCAACTTTCTGTGTATTCTTTACTCTTTACTGGAATCAAAGTAGAATTTGTAGGGCAGTGTTGTTTTATTAAGTCCAATTTTATAGGAAAATTTAAAGTGGTACTCAGTCTTCTTTAGTGAGTTAGTTGTTTCAGTGTTTAGTGACAGTACAGTGTTTGTGTGTCTTCATTGTTAAATTTCTGTGGTATAATATTATACAAATGTAGGTTTCATTAGGTACATGCTCACGGCTTTTATGGCATAGTTTAAGGTTACATTAGTCTGTCTAGTGACGGGGTTTGAAAATTATGAAAAAAAAAATCAGTTTTCATGACGAAATTTGGGAAAATATGTTACGTGTCTCTAAATGTCACAGTATAAATATGACCAGCTTCAAAGTTGCATCCTGTACACTTAAAAAACAAATGAATTACCCATTTTTCTGTAAGTAGGATTTATGTATGAGCGCTACAAAATAAAATTAAGAAAGAAAGATAATTGAGATGGGTACCTGCTGTGGTGGTGGGTTCTATCTGACTATTGGCCTCCGTGGAGGTGAGGTTAGGAACACTGACACTCATCGGGTTCGTCACGACAATTGTATTATTACTACTGTTCTTAGCATTATTTGAGTTTGTCACAGCCTCATCTTTATCACTACTACAACTGCCGCCCTTAGCCGATTCCGTTTTCCGCCTCACCGGCTTCTCGTCGTCAGTCTCTGAATTACTCGACACCGATATCCGCACACCCACCGAATTCAAACTAGACAAAGTGTTTATCTGGCTGCTCTGGCCAATGTTGAGAGCCGACTGCAACAGCTCGGCCGACAGGAAATTGTTGGTGTTGTTCCTTAGCATGTCGGAGCCCTCACGGATCTTATCCAGGGCCTCGACGGCCTCCACGAAACTCTGAGCAGCGGCCGCGGCCGCCTGGGAATTGCTTATTTTTGAATTGCGATTCGACTTGCTGATGTTGGAGTTGGAGTTGCTGGAAACCATGGCCTTCTGTGAGTCCGAAGAGTTGGTTGGTAGTGGCTTCGAGTCGCACAACGCTAAACTCTCCACGATCGTCGCAAGATCTGTTGAATTGTTAATGGTAGACAAATCGTGGTGCGGATCTCGCAACGGATGTACCACCACAGATAATTCACTGTCGTTGCTGGCAGCTTGCGATTCGCTTGTGACAGCGATAAGAGCTTCGTTACGAGCCACCGATAATACACTCTCGGCGATTGTTTCGGCAGCTTGCTTGGCTGCGAGATTGTCCGCAGAGGCTGCTTGTTCCGTGGACGCCACGGAGGTCTTGGCATCGGTAGCTTCGGGCAGACTGGGCGTCGAGCTGCTTTTTCTGCTCGTAAGTACACTCTGTTTGTCTTTTTCGCTTTTCTGCTTGTTGCTAGAGCAACATTTCGATGTGGTGGCAGCTTCCACGTCGTAACCTGGGGCCAGTTTGATATCGTACTTGCCTTCGGCACCCATTCGGTACGAGTTGGAACCACCGTGGTCCCAGGTTACGTCTATCCAGCCGCTGTGTAAGTCTCCAGTTACTGTACCTGAAACAAATAAGTAGGTTGAAGGTGAAACTGTTGTTAATTTTGCTATCACGAGAATTACAAAGCAACTTAATGTTCCGTATAGATGAAACTATCGTAGACTCATGGGATTAGAATGAGTTGATTTAGCTCTATCCAAAGTTACTTCTTTTAACTTGTTAGAATGTAACAATTGGCGAACTGTTTTTTTTTTATAAATGATTTTTATTTTATTATGGGCTTCTTTCAAGTTTTTTCTTTTGTATAAATTTTTTGGTTAATGTTAATAATAGAACTTCCCCACCATATTTAATTTAAAGGTTATATTGCCTCAAAATATAAAATTGTATTGAATTAAATTACACCAAATTTCTATTAAACTAATGTCTAAAAAAAAATTATATAACTTACACGCTTGTTAAAACACGGATAGCCAATGAGATTATACGAACGCCTTAAACATGTTAAGCTAATTTATGATTTATATTCATGGAAAAAATTATCACGTTTCCCGAGATTTTATTGGACGAATAACAGCAGTCACTGTGAATAAAGATCTTCAAGATTGCTTGAGATCAAAAGGCTGAAATTGTTATTAATTAAATCGTTAAATCGCATCATTTTGTCTCTAAAAATATGTGTTAATGAGGTTTACAACTCACCTTCCCCTGGTGGATTCCCATCCTGGTCCCTCCACTTCCAGTCGACTCCCCTTACGACCCTCGCACCGACCACCATGTGCTTCAACAGCTGCGACTTCACAAGCCTCCTCTGTTTCCTAAGATGCGCCTCCTGCTCTTTGTGTGCTTTGCCCATGTCTTCACTTACGCCAGTTACCTGTCCGTAAATCTCGAAACCAGACAAACTCAAGTAGTGTGTCTGACCCGAAGCGTTCTTTCCCGCCTGCTGTATCCTGACATGCCTCCACCCTTGATATTCATCTGGGGAAACCTCGATAGGCCAGGTGGCCGTGCTGCCGGGATCGTTCAAAGACATATCATGAATGTGAGTGTAGAGTGTCGTCCAGGTCTGGCCATCCCTCGACATTTGGAACTGCCAATTCCTAAGGGCGGATCTGCCGTAGCCACGTGCATGTCGTAGGGTGTAAGCACTGGGAATGATATACACTCCTAGGTCGATGCTGAACCAAGCACGGTTATCGTCATTTGTGTGACAGTTGAGCGCTGACGGGTCCCGAGACAGAATGTCTTCCACTCGACCGTAAGGCAGATTTCTGCTGTCTGAACTCGAAACGGTAACCAGGCCATACTGGCCTGGATTAACCCACTCGGAGCTAGTCTTTCCGTTGGTGCCGATGAAGTAGATCAATCCATTTTCGTCGAAGTCATGAGAATGCTTGAACGTCTGATATTTGGGGTCTCGCAGCTTCTTTAAAAACTGAAACGAGCTGCGATCATAATCATACCATTGCTTAGCTACCATTTTCAAGAGATATCTTTCCAACTGCGCGACAGTCGCGAGCGGCTCCATTTTCAGACTTCTACCGGTGCGGTCAATCAAAGTGCTTTCTCCTGAAGCTTTCTCCAGTCTGAACCGCAAGCGTCTTGTCAAAATCTGCAGACCATATCCGGATCCCGGGTTATCGTAAAGGTAAACAGGTAATTTTTCGATGCTTTCGAGCACCGCTATAAGTTTATGGACTAGAATGGATATAGAATTATTATCGTCGTTTAACCTATTCTTGAAACACTGCTTGAAAACCTGCACCCTTTGCTTTTGGTACTTGTTCATCTTGCTCGACTTTAGGCCTTGATCCCAATAGCTGGTCGACAGCAGAGAGAGCAAAGCTTGCACTAATCCCGAACTGTGCAGCTCATAAGCAGAGACCACACCATCTTCCTTAAGTATCTGAGTTAAATCGTCCAACGCGTTGTGTAGGATTTCCCTCCAGGAATTGTTGCCTTCGCGGTTATTGCCGTAGGAGCATTGCTTCTGGCAGGCACGTTCTATTTGTGCAACGATGTTTCCGAGCTTGGCCACGATGCCTCTCGGTTGTGCCTGAGCAGCTCTGAAGTACTGCTCGTAGATTTGGTGTGCGAGATACTTCACTTTCATCTTCGTAGCTTCCAGCTTGGAGCGTAGGCGTTTGCCTTTTTTGGTCGTCCAACCAGCGGAGAATTCTGGACCTAAAAAAGCACATTATACATTTTTCTTTTCTAAAAATAGCGGTATTTATTTATTCTTTTATTAATTAATGTACGTGCCAAACAACAAATAAATTTTAAGGTTTTTTAAGTTACATTTCAGGATGAGTCCCAAATTTTTGTCCGAAAATCCCGAGATGCAATCTCGATTCCAAAACATTGAGTTCCCTAATATAATACTATTACACAGTAAGACAACTCTTTAAAATTTTACTATTACATCCCTAAGTATCCACTTACCTAAACTAGTTTCAGCGATAAATGAATGCTTTGTGCCCCTATTCGACTCAAAGATAAAGCCAGGCAAGTCCTCCCGTAAGATTGTTGTCTGTTGTTGGCCATCACAATTGTGTATGTGAATCTCAGCCTCCTTTCTGGATGTCAGGGACCAGTTGCCGACTACCAATCGGGTCAAGCCCGGTTTTGAAAGTATTGGTATGGAATTGTTAGTACACCGGACGGCGGCTCGAGCCCTTTGCAGTTTTTCCAAGAATTCTCCACGGTTTTCTGTTAAATAAGTCTAATAAGCAGAGCTTTAAGAAAGTAAGCTGACCAGTCAGATATTTCTAGCGCATATTTGTTAGACAAAAAATTAAATTTGAATTGTTTTTCTTTATAAAATCATTTTATAACTTTGTTAAACTAACGTGAATTATGTCTGACTTTGGTAGCTTACTTTTTTGTATCATATGAAGAACAATAAATTACATTATTCAATATATTATACGATTTATTTTGTTTAAAAAAAACTTTGCGAGTTGTGTTCCATCAAGACGACTGCGGAGGATAGAGGAAAAAGACCTAGATACGTCTCAATTATTGAGTAATAACAAGTTCTTGTGAAACATTTTAATTTAAACACTAATATAATACTTCACTGTCCTCTGCATGTCTCATGTACGTAGATGTATGCATGTAGTTTTTAAAATAGCTTTTACTGTAAAGTTTGTCTTATTGTTTGTGAGGGGCTACTCAAATTAGATTCATTGCCACTTTTCCGAAATCGAGTCTAAAATTTTTACAAATTTTAAGCTATATCTTGGTTGTTTTGACGTTGGGACTTAATATGTCAGATTTGCTTCCTCAAGACATCTAATGCAGCCTCATTCATCTCCTATTATTTCTTATTACCAAGATAGGTCACTAAAGATCATTAATGGATTGACTTTGAGTCATTTTTGAAGTCCCTCATGGTACTTGGCCAGCCTCAGATAGTTTATATGGTCAAAAGGTTTTAGTAGAAAGATTGGTTCAATAAATAGGGTGTGCCAAAAAGAATCGAATCCCTAATAACTTGTCAGGACTGAATTCTATATAAAAAAGTGATTATATTGCAGGAAACTACTCTACTATATGCTCCAACTAACGTTTAATTACACCATCAATTTCAGTTAGATACGCAGCTTTTACTTCTACTATTGCAGATAAAAATTGTAGGATATCAAGAAACCAATATTAGTAACCTTGTATTTGACCTTAAGTTTCAAGGTCAAACAAAGGTCAACTTGAAATTGAGAAATTTTTCATAAGGATAGTTGCGGGGTCCTTTGATGAGAAGCTATTTTGGGAGCTGATATCTAATCAGTTAGATCAAATCCAAGGTCACCATTTCAAAATTTTACAAATTTTGCTTGAAACATTTTTATCGAGTAATTCAGAGAAAAATTAGGTTGATCTCCAAATGACCTGCAAGGACACAACGGAAAAATATGGTGTTCCATTTTGATATTTTCAAGTTGACCATGGCTCGACTTTAAAACTTAAGATCAAATTCAAATTCAAGGTCAGCATACTGGTTCTTTTTCATCCCACAACTTTCATCTGAAACTTTTTTTATACGATTCAATCCTGGAAAGTTATTGGGGGATTTATACCTTTTTGCGACATTCTGTTGTATATGTAACAATTTTATAGACATAATCACGTCAAAAGGTAACACAAGCCTTTAACCACTACATTTTATTATATTTGTTGACAAAACAAATTGACTAAAATGAGTAAAATGTCATCCATATATTTTTCCATAGCGTAATTAGTAATAACGGGTAATCTCATTATTGAAATATGTTCCGTTTTGGAATTGTACAGGATCGAGAAAATAAGCAGCAATTTAAGCAGGATGATTATTTTCTTGTTTCGAAAATAACTATGCCACATTTTCCATATTCTTTATAGTTCTGTGACCCAAACTTGGTTTGTCACCCTCCAACGAAGTTATCACTTCCAGTACTGGTTACTGGACTTACATACCGGAAACTTTGTTGGGAAAGTTACTATGAATATTCAAAGTTTCACAAAGCTTTCAACATTTCTTCCCAAAAATTTTTCAAAAATGGAATTTTCCAGAAGCAAAACGTTTCCTTTGCCCAATTCTAGAAAAAACCGCAAAGAACATTGACATGTTTACACACTAAACTGAAACTTTAAGCAATTTTTCAGAGAAAAAGGTAATATTATGATAGTGTCAAATACCTATTAATTGCTGGCAAAATACTGGTATATTTTTGATATTGTGGTATTCCAAGTTTAGAGCTGTTTAAGCATATATATTAAGTTTATTGCTCTGGTATTGTTTAAAAATATAAACCTGAAACAATATATATATTATTTTTTTTTAAGTTACTGATGTTCGAATATATAGTTGTCAGGGCTTTGCCAACCCGAATCATTGAGTTGTAGTATTTTTTTGTTAACAAATACATTAAAATTACTATTGTTAAAACAAAAAATGTAATTTCTACAATATTTCTCATTTAACTAAATCTGAGGCCTAAAATACACAGGTTTCTAATGGAAAAAGATCGTTGTGTTGTACACATTTGCTAAATTTGAATCAATCTGATTTCCAATCCTCTATCGCATAAAATCACAAAATTCTAAGAAAACTGTGTATTTGTATCCACCGAACACGTCAAAATTCAAGGAGCCCCTATTGCAAGCAGGATCATTAGAAGCACCGGGGTCATTCGTAATTGGGCAAATAAGGGTAAAATCCGAAGCCAAGTAACTAAGGGTAGAAGCAGTTTAGCGACTAAGTGTTGCGGGAATAGTTTAAATAAATACAAAAAGCGGTCTTACCTTCGGTGGTGAGGCTGTCCGCGGCCCGGCTCTTGCCTAAATTCGAGACAGACAAATCAACATGACGGTTGCACACAGCAAACATAACGAAAAAACAACACAAAAAAATGGGGTTTGAAATGTATAACTTTTACAAGAAACAGTTTAACCAAAGTACCCCAGGAGTATGGAACACATTTCAGCTACACTTTATAAAAAATAACAGGCTGTTTATATTCTACATTAAAAATTTGATCAGTTATTAGTTAAACCGCAACACTCTTCAGCATTATGTAATCCTTCCGAAGCACAAGAATTTTGTGTTCCTTAATTTGTAAATTGAATATTTCAAATAAATGTTCAAAGTCAAGCTAATTAAAAGCTATGATAAAAATAAGTAAGTGATTAGATTGTGTACAAAGTAGGCCAACTTTAACACTTCTTGGAAGTTTCTAGAATTTCTCGAGCTGGCAAAATCCCTATTTTCGAAAAAAAAAAAAAAAAATAACGGAAAATTACATTTTCATATCTTGATTCCTTTAAGAGATATAGGGTTTTACATTACTGATTTTCTTCTATTATGTCAAATAACTTTGCTAAGCCTGAATTTAGTTATTCTGGCCAGTTATTGGACGGCCTATCATCTCCTGCTAGCTTGACCTTGACTTTTAGGTACACTGTGTATATATGATGTCCCATTTAAAGAAACACAAGTTTAACTTATAACTGAAAATCCATAAGTTACAGAAAAATATCTCACATGTAACCAATTTTATTAAATTTCACAAAATTTATATATTGTTGAAATAAAAAATTTTGCATAAAATTTCAAAAATATTTGAAATTATCACTTGTAACCACTTAAGCTTTAAGAATTCGTATAAAATGAATGAAGTTTTTTCCTCAAATTATTTTTTTTTGTTTTTAGTTTCTAAAACTGAAATTTTAGAAGGATCCTTTGAAATGTTCAATCATGTGGAATCTCAGAGCCTTACAATGCTACAGGTCACAAAATTTTACAAAAAATTTACAGAAATAAAAAATCACGAATAAAAGATCTAAAATGAAAAACGACTGAAGATATCAGAATTTGGTCTTTACTATTCAATTTTTCTGGAACACTGAGCCCAAGACATCTCACCTACTTTTTGTCCATTTCAAGAAAAAAAAGAAATTCCCCCAAAAGATATCGGAATTGGCTCACACTGTACATTAAGTTCTAGTAGCAAATATATTCCGCACAAGTGAAATAATTCGTTTTATTTACGAATACCGCAAAAGATTAGTCATTAAAATACACAATTATCCTTTCTCTAAGTAAAATATGAAAGGAAATATTAGTTATTAATATCATCATACGAATTTGTGCAAAATTTTGACTAAAAAAAATTATATATAAATAATCACAATTTATTTGTTAAAATAAACCAGTCTAAAAGTTTCCAAATTACTTTAAACGTTTGATGGAAAAACAAAAATTTCCTAAATTTATACTTTACTAATTTTAAAGTTACAAAAACCAAAAAAATACAAAAACTAAATTATGCACAAATTCATTTCTTATCACTCGCAAATCACTCCACTAGGATTAGGGGTTAACTTTTTTCCATAGTAAGTTACATGGTAAAACGTATGTGACAACGTGAAAAGAAAAAAACACACAACTCTCCTACTCTAACGACTTACACAACTAAAGGGCTGAATTGCTAATTTACCATATAATCCCTATGGATTGAACATCTATAGACATCAGAAGCAAATCAAGATTGCTTAGATGAGAAGTGTGGAAGCCAAAAAAAATATATGTACTAGGCGTTTTACTATGCAAAACAAAAAAAAAATAACCATGCATCTCTGCAGGTGAACTCGAGCGACTTACCCGAAGTGTCAGCTCCGCCTTCCGGAGACCCGCTGGAGTACATCGTTGCAAGTTTGCCATCCAGTATGAATCTGAACCAGCCGTTTGATCCGTTTGATAATTCTAGGGCGGCGGCATCCGACCAGATGTAGAGGCAGTCCCTGCCGCGGCACACCGACCAGTCCCTCCAATGGTAGGCCTTGCCGGGCAAGATCTCCTTCGCATCCTCGATTTGACTTGTTTCACTCGTTTCTGTAAAACGTTAATGCATACTTTCACGACTTCGGAAACGTTGTTACGAATTTTCACATACCTTCTACGACTGGCTCGTTCTCATCGTTGTCTTGTGCTTCCGGCGGACCGGCTAAGCCTTGAACTTTAGTGAAAATTCCCAATCTCGCAAAATGATCTAAGAATATGTCCTGCGATTTTGTCATAAGATCTTGTATGATAGACAAGACGATAGAATGGCCATCCTCGTCCTCCTAGAGCAAGGATATAGACGCATTACGGTTATAAGATAATCTTCTTTGGGAAAAGTAAAAGCAACAGGCTTCTCTAGGACAGTGTATGAAAGCGTAAAAAAGGTGACTGTGTACTGCAAACTTTCAAGTAGCGAAAAAAAAACCAAAACAAAACGTATATTTAGAATTATAAAATAGTGAAATTTAATAGTTAAAATTTTCAAATATCTTTTACCAATTTAGAAGTTGCAAAAAAAAAGAATTGTGAAAAATAAAACCACAGCAAAGCTTTAAAAAATATTTCAAAATTAATAAATAATTGCATATCTGTTATTAAGATAAAACTATGTATAAGTACAAACAAAAATGGTATAGTTTATACCCAAGTTAATTCAAATTTTGTTTGGTAATATAAAAATGTATGACATACAAAAAGAAAAAACAAAAAATAAACTAGATGATGAATATGATTAATTATTTAAAAAATTAATAATGATACAGAATGATTTAATTTTTTTTAATGAGACATCTCGAAAAAGAGTATTTATGGAAAATCACTAATACAGGGTGTTTTGGAAAAAAGTAGCATAAATTCAGGTGGAACATCAAAAAATAAAAAGATCTTTTTGTATGGACCATAGAGGTCCATCGTCTTTTGTGTTTGAGACAGGGTTCAAATATGAATTTTTTAAATCAATTGTTTTTGTTTTAATAATGTAGTTTAGTGCAGATAAATTTTTGAGTGATGAAACGCTTTTTGAGAAAATGAAATTAACTCTTATGTTAAACCAGTTTCTATTCCAACTGTTTGGAAACTAATGAGCCATACTTCAGAGGCACCTTCCTTGCATGAAAATAAATAGGTTTAGGTCAAGTTTAGCACTTTCAGAAACTTATCTGCAGTTCTGTCTGTATACTGTCCCCATTTTTTTTTTTAAAGAAGCAACTAAAATTTTATTTGGAAATATCATTTGTCGCCTTGTATCTAAAAAACAAAAGACAACAGGCCCATAGTCTATAGGAAAAATCTAATTTTTTGGTGTTCTATGAGATTTTTGTAAACATACCAGAACCATAATAGAAGCAATTATATCGGTAAATTTTCCAGCGTCATTATTTTGCAATTTGTTAAAAAAATGTCTCGGCTTGCAATAAAAAAAAATACGCAATTCCTTACTTTTTTTTTTTTTTGGGGGGGGGGGGGGGTGGGAGAGAGAGAAAAGTTTCTATTAACAGAGGTTTTAAAAGAATTAGTTTTTGAGATAGAAGATATTAAAACTTCTGAAAAACATCGCATTTAGGCAAATATTTCGAAATATCCTAAATGAGATTAATGAAACCAGACTGGTATCAGTGACGTGCCATAGCAAATCCATGTAATCGCAAAATAAATTAATGAAGTCACCGATAGTACATTAAAAAAAATGTAGACTGATGTCCTATTCTCCCAAGTCTTAGATTAATATCAAATCGGCCTCTTTTCTTTTGGTAAAGATTTATTTTTTAAGGTGTTATTCTAAAATGTTTTTTTCCTAATACAAAATATCTTTATCAAAATTGTACTTGCAAATAAACTAATACACTTTTTTTGTATTCTTATTTATTTTTTTTTGTGGAACAAATACTTTTAAGCGCTATTTTCAATTTGTTGTCTCTCGGAAACTAAGCCTGTTAACACATGTTCATAGGAACTTTTCCTTTAAAATAAAAAAGAATCTTGAATTTTATTACTGGATTGTACATCTGTACATAAAAAAAATTGTAATAACGAAATAATAAAAAATTTATTTGATTTTTAAATCAACAAAAAATAATATGACTTCAAACATGTACTTTACGATTCAACTATAAAGGCAAATTAATTTGAGAACACTTCAGATATACTACGGAATTCTAAAATAACAGAGATGCAACATGTAAAAAGTTTTCTAAGCTGAGGAAACGACTTAAAAAAGGGCATAGCGACAAGCAGTTAAACTGACCAGAGAGTGATATGGAATAACACGTCTATCATGCACGTAAGCACGTATCGAGCGAACAAATAAACTTAAGGGTGAGACGGCGACGCTACGAGAAGTGACGGGCCAGCAATAACTCATCTGTAAAATTTTGCCATTATCAGGCAAGCAATGCTGTCTTACAAAGGCCTACTGAACAAGTCCCAAAACAGCAAAAAATACTCCTTACGCTCGCCTGCTTTAAACAAATATTTTAAAAAATATATATGACCTTAAATTATTAGTCTACATTCAGCAAAATATGATTCTTGGCAACTAATAGACAAATAAAAAAAAACATCATTTTTAGACTTACTGAAAAACATTTTTAATTTTTGTTCGATAGAAAACTTAAGACAATAAAATCGTTCTTTATTTTTTTTAAATTTTTCCCGTTACACACTCCATTCCATTCCATTGCACATTCCTTTATCGAAGACGTTTTAATGTTTTAAATTAATTATTGAAAGCGACAGTTTGGAAAAATAATCTTAAAAAAAATTTTGTAAAACAATTTTCGAATTTTCAAAATGTTGCAAAGACTCGAATAAAGCATCTAGATACTTGAAAATTTTTTTACATAGAAAAGACCACTCATCCTTTCAAATGGTATTTGAAATATTGAAATTGGTTGATTAGGACGGCCACAGTAAATTTTTAAAGTTAACACTTTTTTTTAATTTTAAATAATTAGATTACATTTATCAATTTGCAAATTAGTTTTTATTATTACAATCATTTAAATAATTTTTGTTTAAACAAATTAAGAAAAAAAATTTTATTTGGAAATTAATTTTTTTGTTAAATACAGATAAAATTAAGAAAAAACAGTACTTTAAAATTATAATTTTTGAAAAAAACTAAGTTGAAAATTGATAAATGTAATCTAATTGTTTAAAAATTAAAAAAAGTGTAAACTTTAAAAATTTACTGTGGCCGTGCTAATCAACCCATTTAAATTTTTCAAAAACCATTTGAAAGGTTGGGGCGGTCTTTTCTATGTGAAACATTTTTCAAGTATCTAGATGCTTTATTTGAGGCTGTGCAACATTTTGAAAATTCGAAAAAATTTTTTCAAAATTAAAAAAATATATTTTATGAAAACTATCTAACTGATTTTAATTAAATTTGGTGTGTTGTTACATTATACTCTAGAGTTTTTTTTTACCAAAATTAGAATGCCCTCAAAGCAATTAAAATATTTAAAAAAATTATCCAAAAAACTTGATTATTTTGCTTTTCTTTCATCAATTATTGCTATTTTGTAACATCGGTAATAAATTTAAACATTTTTAACTTACAATATTGTGCAAAATTCTTCCAAAATGCATAGGTTCCAAGATATAAATAAAAAACTCCGATAAAATAGGTATTTTTGAAAATTTTTAAACATTTTTGTAATTTTGAAAATGTTCCAGACCTCGCCCAGTTCTAAGGATCTATATATTTATTATGTGAGTTGTATTGAAGGTAGTCCAGAAAAAAATTGCTTGCCTCCTCTTACATCCACCTCGAAACAGATCCGCCCTGGTCTAATACTCATGTAGATTAAGAGAAAATTTTCCAGTTTTTTCCACATTAAAATTTGGGTCAATTACACTACAAGCAGAAGATCGTCTCAAATTCAACATACCTCGTGAAACAAGTAAACATATTTCTTGAACACTTAAAAACATGGTTAATAAAGTCTGAATAATATCATCCTCTTACTTTTCTTCCACAAAAAAAAATATTTTAGGTTACTTCTTCCTGCACAAGTGAAATTTTTTTATTGAGGCCCTGATCAGCGCATCTCCATCCAAGAGCACTGAAAACAGCTGAATGAGGTCTAAGCGCGGTATAAGAGATGAAACTGCTCATTTACGTGCTGTGATGGAACTGGTCCTATTGTCCTTGTTTATAGATATTATCTTAGTAATATTATCCAAATAAGCAAAATATTTTTTGTACTTATACCAATAAATTTAAAACAGGAAGTGGTTACAACAGAAGGCATTGATGTTTTGTTTTTAAAATTGTTAGGTATTTAGCTGATAAATCAGAATAAAATTTGAAACCTGAAAGTATGCACCAAATAATGCACAATATGATAAACATTATTACAATAATAAAAAGTAAAAACATACTGACAAACTGTATTCGTTTAAAGCAGGCGAGAAATTCATTTGCAAACTAGGAAATTTTTCCTGTTCCCTTATTCACAACAATAGTATGTAACCTACCTCGTTATCCAACACCGTGGCGATGACCTCCACGACTTGGGTGCCGAAATTGGGGCTGGACTCCAACGAGCACAGTTCCTCCAGCAGATTCGGCTGGATGTAATGTATCATCTTCCTGATGAGCCCCAAGCTCGCTTTTCTGACGCTGGGCAACATCGTCGACTGAAACGTGGTGCAGAATACGGGCAGGAGTCGCTGCAGATAGACGGGGGCCATCTCAGGGTCTCCACGTGGTTCGATGGAGTCCTCACTGTCAGATTCCGATTTTCTAGCTCTGTCTTTATCTACGGGTATCATCCATTCGCCGGGCGATTGTAATATCGCGGCGACTTCTCTGTGCCCTTCGTCCGCCCTTTCCCTCGCCTTATCTAAAGGTGTTTTGCCGTCCTCATCTCTTAAATCGGGATTAGCACCGTGACGGAGCAGAACTTTGGCTATCGCAGGACGACCAAAGCAAGCGGCGTAATGCAAGGAAGAGCTGCGCTGGCCCTTGTTGACGTCTGCGCCTTTTTCGCACAGATACTCGACCATTTCTTGGGTGCCAAAGGCCGATGCCCAGTTGAGAAGGGTTTGGCCTACGTCGTCCATGAAATTCACCTAATATACAGGGTCCGTATGAAGTCAATTGAGAAAAAGGAAAATATGCAGTAGAATACGTAAAAATATTAATATTTCACTTTCTCATACAAAAATCTATCAAGTTTTAGAAAGGTAATATCAAATATAAAATTTTGATAAATCAAGTCAATATTTTAACTGTTCGAAAACAAAAAAATAAACATATCGAAATATAAGCACCAGACAAACATAAAAAATAAGATAAATTATTTTAGAAAACAAACAGTATATAAATTTATAAACAAACATGTTCATTGATCATTGAACTTACCTCTACTCCTCCGTTTTCGATAGCCTCTATCAAAGCGTCGGTGTCCTTCGATCTGATGCAGTCTATGAGTTGCCTGTGCGATTTCTCAGCCGCCGAATCCATACGTCTTATCCTAGACATGAGCTGTCCGGAAGATCCCCCCGATTTACCTAAAGCCCTACGCCCTTCGAATAATAGCACCAATAGCAAATCCACTAATCGCATTGAGTCTAGAGCGCAACGCTCGTCTCCCTTCAATGACTTCTCTATAGCATCCAACAGTTCCGATCTTAATAAATCCTGAAAACAATAACGTCAAAAGTTGGTCAAGGGAATATTATTGAAGTTCTTACGTGTGTAATTGTAGGTGAACCTCTACAAAGCGTCGACAAAAGGCTGATAATTGTCGAAACGGAAGCGGCGTTGGCTTTGGAATCTGGAGCTGCCGCAGCGGCGTTATTGGTAGAGGAAGCTTTTCCCGGTGTGTTCTGGGTGCCGCTTGCCGTTGACGGTCCGGCAGCGTTTGATAATCTACTCAGCAATTCATTAACTAATCCTGAAAGATGACCACATTTTATAAAACACACTAAAATTCCTAACAAAGTATTTACCATGTTGTGCTAAAGGTGCGGGGTCGACTCCCCTCCTGGTGAACCTATCTGCCACGGAGGCGAAACACCTCAGAGCTCCATCCGCGACGTGGGAGTCTTCGTGCCGCAACAGAGTGCTAAGTGCAGAAACGCAAGTAGGTAGCTCGGCGTCGGCCGGCTCCAGCTTGGTGCATAGCCTGGACACGACCGCCATGGCTGAATGGAGAGTGTCTTTGTGTACACGTTGACCGTTGTCCCGGATAAAGGGCAGGATGCAGCTTAGACCGCCAGCATCGAAAACGGCGCCCGCTTCTCTAGTGCATATTAATTCTAATACCTGCAAAAATAAGAGTCTCTAAATTCACTTACTGCTTCATTAATGATGTAGAAGGTTGTCAGTTCCTATGAATATATGACAAATGGACTATTGTCCATCTAAAAATGCTTGAGAGTGGAACAACCTAATAAAATGTCATATGTAGTTCTGAAATTTCCCATTAGGAAGTCAAGTTAGCAACTTCATGTAGTCCATATTAATTATGACTATACGAAGCTTTTCTATTGATTTTTAAATTAATAAAACGTGTCTCCATCTGCATATTGACTACATACTACATATAAACTAATTACTTTGTATCCTTTTTGGAAAACCACAGACACCTTCGCCTTATGAACTGTAAGTTGTTTAGAATATAAATTCTTATTAATTATTTTCTTTAAAATATCGAGTGCCTTCTTATAACTAGTGTTTTTACAACTTACCTTAACACACTGCTCAGCTAAATCTTTACTAGTCCTAGACGATAGTTCAGCTACTACGAGACGGTTACATATAGCTTTAACGGCGCCATCTATTGCGACGATTCTCCTGGTGCACTCTGCGGACACGTCCAAGTAATAGGTGATGGCGCGTGCAGTGACTTCCAGAACATTTTCGGGTGCCTGTTCATCTAGAAATATGCGACAGAGGGCAGGTAGGAAAGTGCGGGGTGGACAACTTTCAAAACAACGGTCTACGTTGTCTGACATAAGGAGCAGCATGCAGAGCTGCTCCAATGCGATGAGCTGCATGTCCCTCTCATCACCCAGGCCGCTGTTCAGCCATTCCAGTAGGGTCTCTGGATCTGGATCAGCCATCTACAGATAAAAGAGAAACAAAACGTAATAATCTGGCTACTGTACTAATAAATTTTTGTAGTTGTTTCTCTTTTATTGTCTCAAAAACGTATTTTATTAAAATAAACCTACTATACCAACTATACTTGTCAAACCTATACCAATAATTACAACTACTACTACAAAAAAAGAAAAAACCCTCGCTACGGTAAAAATTGAAAGAAAACGCTGTTTACTTTTGGTCGTTCTGAACATATTCAGAATATTTATCAACTTTTTCTAATGGCAGAAATAGTCTAGTGATTTTGTTAATAAAATAATTTCTAAAGGTTATTTTTTCAGTAATAATATATTATTTGTATTAGCAAAAACTGCGTCTAGAACCTTATATATCCTACGTTTTAACAAGCTTATTTTTTCCTAAAAAAAAACCGGTTTGGTTCCGACACCTAATTTTTCCGGAAATCTATGACTTTTCGCCACAATGATCAATCAGGTTTACTTACTATTTCTTTTTAACAAATTCCAAAAATATAATATAGTTGTAACTGTTTTAATCTGTTTTTGTTATTTAAAATTATGTCTTTAAATATTGGTTGATTAAAATTAGAGAATTTAATCAGATAACTGAAATCATTTTGATCTATATTTATTGTAACAAAGCAGCATTTACTTGTGACCATCCTTGATGCAGTGCGTGTGCAAATACGCGGCAGTCAGAGGCCTTTTCCTTGATTTAAATTTTTTCAAGACGGAGACAGTTTATTACCGACAAAGGTCTTGCTTATCCACAATAATACGTTTCCTCGTTATGCTCAAAACATGCAAAACTAGTTGGAATTCCAATAACCTCCTTATTCCCCTGATTTAGCACACATTGTTGATTGACGTTACATTTTCCAGTGACTTTAATATTACATTTGGTTATTTCACAACAAACACAAAACTTATCTGATTACCATCTGAACTAAATCAACCCAATATATTTGTCAAACAAATACCTCTAAATCAAGCTATTGAAATACAAACGGAAATCCACCTGTTATAAAAAAACAAACTTGAAGTTCGTTTATCACTTAAACGGTCAATAACATCGATGATTGAACATTGAAAATATTTGTGTTAATAAATAAGCAAAATCATTAGTCAGTGTCGGCTCGCGAAAATTTAAAGTGAAACCGGCTGTTAATTAAAAAAAAAATTCCAGAGTAAAGATTCTTAAAAGTTGAAAATATAAACAAATTCATGAGCACCTACATGTTTATTATTTATTGCTGCCAATTAATTTAATCAGAAGAAAATCACAATATAAGTACTCCGGAAAGAACAATTAGCCTTTTATGGACTTGTAATAAATATATACCTACCTGTGGCGATTTGACGTATAAAAAGTTTCTCATCCTGTTTTTTTATTGTTGAAATCAATGAGCGAAGAATTCACTTAATTGGATTAAAACAATGTGATTCTGGATAATTAAGTCATTTTATAATTAAGGAAGTAATTATTTGGTTCTACACTAATGTGGATTCTGAAGTCATAATTGAAATCATTTTTATACTTAATTGTAGCCTCCCAAATAATGTTCACGTTTTTGTTTTGTATATAATCAAATCACCATCATTTAACTTAGTTATTTTACTTACAAGGATTTCTTCAATTGAAATATCCATGTGCACATTCGACGCGTTGCGATTTATTCAAAAAAATCTATACTTTAACCGTACTTTCTGAACCAACTGCCACCAACTGTATAGGTTCTGAAGCATGAATATTTGGATGTTGGTATGTATTTACTTTACCTTTAAAGATTTGCGTTAATGACACTATTATAGTTTCGGGTTAATAACCCGATAAGTTACAATTTTCCGAAAATATGCTATTTAAATTAAATTCACCTTAATTTTAGATCAGGTAACTCTATTGCCTATAGTAGGATCATATTTGATGCAAAGTAATAAATCATTGCCTCTCAAGCGATTCAGTGCAATACGGTTTTAAGGGGTTTAGAAATTGAATAATTTTTTTATGCATTACGAAGGGATGAACCCTTGTTCCTACAAAAACTCCTTTATTCTCAAACTATTTATTTTAAATGTAATTTGTTTTTAAATTCCACGTATGTACTATATTTTACCTCTGTACGCGCCACTGTTGTTTACTTGTTTCTTGGAGGCGATCTCTGATTTACGACCAAGCTCGCCAGGTTAGTATTTGACGTATCACTTCGTACACTGGATGCACATGAGCGACTACAACTACTACCAGAACACAATCCGTATGATGCGGTATTTGTTAGTTCACGTTTCATCATCTTAAGTAAATGTTATATGTTGTTTTAATTTTAACACCCTATATCTGGAAAAACCCGCCGAAAGTTATGAAATAGATTTAGAAAACATTCTATATAATTAAAATATTTTTTATCTACTTACAATTAGTGATGCAAATATCAAAAGATAATCTCAGAACTGTTCATTACTGATCATGTAACACAAAAAAAAATAGGAAACAGTTCGTCCTGATCCCTAAATTAACATAAAAAATATACATTTTGTGTAGTTTCTCGCGAGACTACCCTGTATACAGGGTGTCCCGCATAAGAACCGACTCGTTAAATTTTAAAAAACTATGGTTTTCAACAAAAACCGTATTAACTGACACAAGATTTTAAAATCTACTTTAGAATTTCACGGTATAAAAACCGATGTACTAAGTACCTTATCTCTTAGTTCCTCTTTACTATAACCATTAAAAAAAACGGAAGAGAGAGCTGTAGTGCAGGATGCTTACTCCATTTGGCAAATATCTATTACTAATTGTTGCTTAGGATTGGAGCATAAAACAAATATAATTATCGACTGGTAAATTGTCATTGGAAGCATGACCAAAGACGGTAGTGGGTGACGATCGTACGAAAAGGTGCACTGAACCGTCAAGAAAAAATAAAAGTGTTTGACCGTATCCCTTATAAGGCCGCACGGCTTAAATCACTCACTTACTTGAATGTACACGTTTGAAGGTTTCCTTTGTAATTCATTCAAGTTTTAATGCGATTTGCTCCGCTTTTATAAAGAAATAAAACATCTAGAAACATACAGATGTTGTTTTTTAAACCTGCCTCATTATTTTACTACTTCCTATGTAAATTATCAGAGTATATCTTATAAATTGAAAAATACATTGCACATCAAAATTAGCACCCCTCTAAAAACTGACCTCAATTTCGAAGTTCATGTTCTTTCTGACGTTATTAAACGAAATACATGAATGTAAAATTAAAAATTAAGCTCAGATCAGCTGTTCAAAAGGAAATCAACTTTGAAATTGAGGCTAATTATTAACGGAGCGTTAGTTTTTATGTGAAGTAGTGTATGCTCATTTGATTTTCTGAACTTGCAGAGATGGATTCGTTATTTAAAAAATAAATATACTCTATAAACTTTTGTCTCAAAAGGCTTCATTTTCAAGGCACATAACGTTTAAGTTTTGAACGAAGTGAAGAATATCTTACGAACTCAGAATTTTGAAATTAAAATTTAATACGCTGTAGAGGAGTCTTTTAATTGGTAGAATTTTGTTCCATCATTTTAACCAGTCATGCAAAAGAAGCGTGCTATATGTTAAAAAAGTAAGCTACTACATTTGTTCAGGAAAATAATACAAAACTTATATTGTATTGTCCAAAACCTACCAAATACGTTAGGTACTTATTATTATTTTGGGGGCATATCCACTGTTCAGAAATTATCTCGCTTTTTTTAAAGTTCGAAATCCATTATTTTGTTTAGGGAATTGATTTCCGATTCCACCATTAAAGTGTAATTCACTAGCACCCTGTAGAGCAAAGATACTATTTTTTTCAATGAGGAATTAATTCTTGTAATTTTAAAAGGTATATATAACATGGACCTAAGTTAAAATTAACCAGTAAATAGGTACAATACCTTTGGATTAACGAACTATTTATACTTAGTCGGTTTTCAAACCCAAGGGCCTACATTTTATCCTCGATTTTCTCTATTTATTCGAAGTCTATTTTTAGCTAATTATATTATTTTGAGACATTTGCATGTCATGCACTGCGAATCCTGAACCGAGTGCTCTAACGGGGTCCCGATTATTCACCAGAACCTCGGCCTGCCAAAAATAACGGAAATAGTAAACATATTTCATGAAATTGCATAGAGCATTAAAGGCGAACGAAATACTGCAGAGGACGGTTTCAGTCATCAAATGCACAGCTGCTAATCGTCCGATTATTTCAGGAGAAAGTAACCGAGGTAAGACTATGCAAACTCTCATTGCGAGAATGTAGAAAATAAATTATTCTCGAAATTATTCCGTGCAGTAATGTTTTGGAACAATTACTACAAAGGTATTAATTTTCGAAGAAACTTCTTAGTTTTTCAGGGAATTTTTTTAAATTTTTAATTCCCTTACCCACCATATTGGAATATAAGTCAAAATTCATTAATTTATTCATTAATAATTTTAACCTCAAGTATTTTTTTTATTATTAGTATTTTGGTTTCTATTTTGCTATATCTATCTATTGTAACAAAAGTTACTATTTCATATTTACCACTTATATTATTACTAACAACTGCACCTACGGATGAAATGTCCAAAAACATTAAATACGTTTCTTTTCGAAAATCTTGTTTTTTTTTAAGTAAGCATACCTAATATGATCTCATGAAAAGTTAAATTTAAACAATGAATAAACAGTTATAAAACAATATAATTAAAATCGGTAACGGCTAAACGAGTAAATAAAACCAGTTCAATCAATCAAATTAGATAAACAACAAATGATTCAAACACGTTCTACCTATTATAGTCTGGCGGCACTTAAGTTGGATGTTTTATAAAATGGTTGAAAATCAGCCAGAATATTAACATTGATGATTTTAACCATGAGAACTGGTTTCGATGCCCCAGCATAAATGTTTTGCTATGTAAACCTAGAAATAATGCATTTTTTTTTCTGTTGCTCCAGGTAATCTTTCGTTGACTGATG